AAAGTTGACAGACTGGTTAATCAAAACTGAAGGATAACCAGACACGAGCCTATTTCCTGCTGATCTGGTTTACAACAGTAACCAGCTGGCAGCTACCGCTGATTGAGAGTGCAGTGTGGGAGAAATTGTAGGTCCAGAATAGGCTTACTTAGGTATCAAAGAACCCACAAACGATGATGCTGCCAAGATTAATACTCGTTAGCGAGTGAATGCCTGTGATGATGATGATGATGATTTTTAAGAAGGTACTAAAACTATATAATTTCAATTAGGTAGCAAAACTTAGATATATTATAAATCTGATTTAAATGTTTATTATTCCTTTATTCCTTTATAAAAACTAAGAATGCGACCAACCATTTATTGGTCGCGCGACCTGGCTGCGCGACTTAACCCATAATGCATAAGAGCCTTATTAAGGCCGTAAATGTCATGTCAACATTTTTATAAAGTGAAAAAAATTTGAAGTGCTCTTGCATTTGATATATTTTAACTCACCATAACTCAAAAATGGCTCGTTTGATTCTTTTGTGCCAATGATAATTTTTGTTTAGAATGTCCAGGAGTACAACATATCCAAATTTCAGACAATTTCACCGAAAGCCATTTTCCATAAGATTAGTGCAGGGTCCTCTTTTACCAAAATTTGAAACCGATACCCGGCGTCTGCTTAAATTGGTCTACCCGGAAGCGAGAATAACTAGCGGCCGAAAATTTTACAAATGGAATTAGATACCTATGGATGTATGGAGAATGTTGATGATCATCATCTACCATCAAGTAGCTGATGTAGTCAAATCCCTATCGAACCGGCCTATAAGATATCCAAACCAAAGGTCAGAGCTGTGTTAATACAAGAAAACATAATCAAGGAGCTTCTGGAAGAAAAAATACGAATGGCTATTACTCGAATCAAATAAAGAAATCTTGAAAGGGCCCACTGTGTAAGAAGAGTGTGACTGTAGAGTATGACTAAGATCTCGCTCTCGTTCTGATGAATCTCAGCCTTTATTGAAGAACCTCAAAGGGATCACGGAATGAAACCGCTGCGAAAGAAGGGGACAGTTCAAACGTAACTGTAGAGTACAACTGAGATCTCGCTCTCCTTCTGATGACTATCAACATTCTGGTGAACTTCATAACAAGGCGGATACCAGTTTCCAAGTGACCACCCAACCAACACAAATATGTTTATTAGTGCTACTATATAATATAGAATTTTCGGAGGGCATTTTACTCGTATACAAATTTTTGTAGTTATCGAATAGGCGATTATAATACACCTGAAAACACGAAAACGGACCACTTTATAAAATATATTTGTCGTTTTAAAATGCTTATGATGATCGTGAGTGACAGCTATTATACGACTAGGTACGTTACTACTGCTATAGACCTTTAATAAGAGTAGTTATAAAACACCTATATGATAATTTTATTACCGATACTATAACTACAAATAGGGCGACAAATAAGCCCATCACAAATGGCGTACCTACCTACACCTATATCAGAAAATAACGTTACGATATCATACGCAATATGAAATACTGTCAAAGCCTCAAACGTGTTGATTTCACTTCCCAATTTAATTTTTCTGTTAATATTATAGGTATATTTATTAACTACATTTTCACGCGCCGGTATTTTAGGATAATTTACGATTTTTAATAGTTATTATATTTTACAACTTGAAGATGGTAATTACAAATGACAACTAAGTACTCTTTGATGATACTTATATTTTTCTCGATATTCTAAATTTTTTTCTTATACAATGTTTTTTAATTTTTTTATTTCCTCGCCAACAAACAGGAGAAAAGAAAAAACCGGCGAGCGGATGAAAGAAAAACCGAATACAAGAAGATTTGGCTGATCCAGATGGTCAAGATTATCCTTCAAACAGAGTCTCTATAGAATCCTACGATGAGGAATACTACGTGGGCTTTAATCGTTCACGCAGACGTAGACACGGTAGCCGGCAGCACTCTCATGCTGCCCAACAAAGAAAAGAGATCCACGCATGTGTAAGGGTAGACCAGGATGGATAGAGAGGCCTTCTAGAGAGCATTCATTTCACAGACAGAGATGTTATCTATGATATACCTCCTATTTCTCTCCCTAGAAAATCATCACCTTGTCGCTGGTAAGAGGGCTCAGTAACTTAATAATCCAGGCCCCATAGGATAATCTCGTGAAAAAAATGTTGTTTTGTCAGAAGAAAAAGACTGTATTACTAAAAGCTGATTGAAATCACATTAAGTGTGAACTAATATCAAAATCACCTCATGTTCAAATCTATTTCTGTTTATTTATTTGTTTTTACAAGCTTCAACAGTACCATTTACCATAGATGAAACATATAAGTAGAGCATTTCGACAAGGGCATCTTTTTGTTGCACAGGTTTTGCAACTCCATTAACTTCTTCCCATCCAAAGATACAGGGATCTTTCTCCACGTAGGCAGGATTTGAAACATTTTAACGATTCCTGATTATATAAAACATTCTTTTAATGTGACCTTGAATGGAATAAGATGTTGGCGGAAGGTCAATAAGAGGGACCGGTCTCTTAAATTCACTGTACCTTTCTCAGGCACATAGGGATTTGAATGTAGCGGAAGAAAGGGGTGAACGCTATCCAAGCTATTCTGTCGCATGATCTTCTTCCAACCAATATTTATTTGTTGGAGACTTCCCAGCGAAGCCAGTCAAGCACAGGCTAATGCAAGAGATTGAATAAAACTTCTCACCTGAAGATTGAAGATTTGACCAAATGTCTTCCCTTCAAACTGCCGTTGTTGTGGATTATATGTCATAATTACGGCTGGTTAAATTTCTCCAATGCCAAACTTCAGAGCAGCCATCCGTACAGACCGTACAGTACTGCAAACAGCACAAGCAAGCTTCACTGCAGGAGCTATACATATCGATCTTGATAGTTTTCGCGAATTATCTATAAAGGAATCTGAGAGAACCAGACGGATGTCTACATGTGGAACAATTGACCTCGCATGCATAACCAATTCTACTCCCGTACCTGTTGAACTAGACAAATTCTGGTCTTTGACAATTTCCGAATTTTCGATGAACACCGAATTTCTAATAATAATTGTTGGTGCAATTACGGCGAATGGGCAAGAGGTTCTAGCAGAAATATATTCAAAAGGCAATGGTCGTACCTATTGTTGAAGAATTAAATAGCACATTGGGGAAAGCTGACCTTCGTATTGTGCCACACCTTGACTAAACTGGACTGACATGTGAAATCCTGGTTCTGTCAAATGACACAGATTTTGTTGTGTTGCTACTTAGATTTGTTTATAGTTCAGGGATTATCGGAGCTATTGGTACATTATCCAACAGGAGAGAAAAAATTATTCATCCCACTTTATGTTCTTTATTGAAAACTGCCTCCAGGATTGCCTAATGTTTTCATCAAGGCTCACATTTCTTTCTGGTGGTGGTACCGTAAGCAAAATTGGAACAAAACTTGGAGCCTTCACTGATGATCCAGTAAAATTCCTGGAAGAATTCGCTGAAACTGAAGAATGAAACGATTTTGAAAAGGCTGAAAAATATCTTGTGTGTGTCTGGAAAAGGAACTCCTTTCTAAATGTGAAACATGATGATCTGCGGTACAGTGAATTCCCTGCTGACCCTCCGCCGATATCTCATTCAATTGAATTGTTTAAATGTTTTAGGCCTACAGAGAAAGATCGCTGTAGCTTTGAATGGGAAGAAGTTAATGAAGTTCTGAAACCTGTAAACCTTTTACCAAATCTACACGTGTATGTTCTCGCAAAAAGTATGAAACAAAAAGATGCCCTTGTCGAAATGCTCTACTTATAATATGTTCCACCTACTGTAAATATACTCTTCAAGATTGTAAAAACCAATAAATAAACAAAAATAGATTCGGACATACTTAAGTTGATCTTGATATTAGTTTACACTTAATCTGATTTTACTCAGCTTTCAGTAATATAGTATTTGCGTTGATATAACATTGTCTTTCATTCCAGCATTAATGTTCACATGTTACATTTTCACGTTGCAAATGGTTTGTCAGGCCAAGTATCTATAAAAAAGTAAATAGAATGTTTTACTACTTGTAGGTATTGTGATATATTATCACTTGCCTACTTTGAAATCGTGTAAGGGTTAATCTGAAGGATTCAGTTTTACCACTATTATATTTCTTGACCCCTAATACCTAGATTTTGACACCAGACTGAAGTCTGCAACCTTTATAGTTCCTGAAATTCAATATAACATTGAAATCATCCGCCATTTTCAAAAATGGCGTACGAAAAACAGTTGCGCCAAATTCGCATTGTCTACCCAAGCAAAAGTAATTCTATAATGGATCCCAAACCTAAATTTTAAATCCGTTTCTCTGGACAACATTTTTTTTACGGGGTTATGCCCTGGGGACAGGACTATAATGTCCATGGAGCAATACCAGCGGTAACGTAGCTCTGACATAATATTTCTTAGAAACTTACTGAACAAATCGTATAATAGATACCCTTACTAGACTAAGATTGAATGTACTTACCAGTGATAGAATGTAAAAAGCATAGCATAGCTCACGAGAAAAGTATAATATTTACTTTACTTAACGCTTAGATTATTTAACCATCGAGTATATTTCACAGATTTTAATTACCTAGTTAATAACTGGTCAGGATGGCAAGCTTAATTTCAAATTTTTTCAAGCAAGTCTTGAAACTTACAATCGGTCTCTAATTTACTAAAAAAAAATTAGACCTACTCATTTAATGAACATACAAGTAAAATACAAGCAACTTCAGTGCCAATTTAATTGAATTATGAAGTAAAGTTGCATGATATAAAACCATACGAATATCTCGCAGTTGACGTTTCTAAAAATGACTAGGGTATCAGTCCTGGTGAGATATTCCACACCTAATCTAAATAAAAATGTCATAAAAAATTCCTTTTTATTTAATTTATTTTATAATAACAGATATCTTCTCCGAACAAAAAAATTCTTCAGGCCTGCTGCAAGATCTCCAAATTGACAATGGGTTCGGGCAGCGTGGGCTGGTGGCCCCTCGCTGACGCCAAATAGGCTTTGGCCAGATGAGACTTGCCGGTCTTGTGATGTAAAACTGCCAAATTGTTAAGGGCCGAGGCATGCGAGGAATTCGCGGACAAACATAAATTCAAGCACTGGACGGCGAGGGCTATGTCCCCGGCTGCCTGCGAAGATAAAAATTAATTGTTTTTTTTTTAATTTCTTTTGGAGCTGAGAGGAAAATGCAAGAATCTTTTGCAATTTGTTCATTATATAATTTAATTTTCTAAAAATGGTATCATGTTTTTTAGATAGGCTAGTTTGCACACTATATAAAATAATAACTATAAATTTGTTTCTCCTTCTACGCTAATTTTTACTGCATAAATATATAAAAAATATACATTAGGCATATTTTTTTCCTGTCTTGATGTTGGGATGTAACCTATAGATCAGTGTTGAATCAATGCAAGCATTCAACTTCACAAATCGCAGAAGAACCTCATTTGAAGCTCAAACATGTTTCGACCCCAAGCTTATAATTTTAGCTTCATTAAGTTTCCAGCTTTCTTTTATAAAACATAATTTGTATAAAAACAACTTCCAGTCTTTTTTCAACTGATTTTTAAGAAGCCTCAAGCTCTATTTCTTGCCTTACAGGTTCTAATTTGGTCTTGCTATAAACCATATCCTTTCTCTTTTAGGTTCATTATAAAGCAATAATGATGAGTCTAAACTAAACAGAATTCCCACATGTGATGGCAAAAATAAGGCAGTTTGAAAACCTCGATAAAAACGCAGTGTTCGTTTGGTGTATCTGCATTTTCATGTAGGTAATAGATTTCTCTATTTTTTAGACAAACAGAACACCAAAGAAGTCATATTCAAATTTGTTGTCAGGTGAAGACAACGAAAAAATTTTGTGTCCAATAAATTACCACTTGGATAATTACATACGTACATCATACACATGCAAAACCTAATGTACACAAATTTGTTTGAAGTTTTTATTCCCACCTTTCTCCAAATAGCTTATTGAAACCTTCACGTCAAAGATAAGCCAGATCAAACTAAGCTACGGACCCTCATTATGCACCGAAAACTATTTTGCAAATTTGTATCTGTCAACCTCGACCAAATAGGTATTAACATAGGTATGTGATGCCTTTACTTATAACAAGTAGGCAGTCCGGGTAGGTTTATATATGGCTAGGATGCACAGACTTCTACATTAAACATCAGCGAGGCCCATTTAAATTTCAAATCAGGGGACTGCTTCGAAATCAATCTTGGCTGGAACCACACGCTGAAGAATAGAAATAAAGAGTAGGTACCTGGAAGAGTAAACCTATAGCGCGCGAACAAGTTAAATGAATGGATTTAATAACGTGTAAATCTGGTAGAAAATTTTCAATCAGGGTATTTTTACTTACTACAGCAACGTGGGATAAGTTGTACCAAACATCAGCTTTAATTAAATTATCCGTCGCCAATTCTAACGCCCTTTGAAAACAGGCTAACGTTAGATCCAGCTGTTGCGAGTATAAACAACAAAGTCCCAGATTGTTGTATAATTCGGCAGAATGAGCGCCCATTGCTAACACACGTCTGAAAAATAAAAATCAAGTTTTGAATGACTTTTTAGGTAGGTATTAGATAACTTGTATAAAAATTCTATTAGTAAGTTTGCTTTTTTAAAATTTAAGAGGAATACGAATTTTCTTTTACTTTCAATGGTAACGGACCAAAAAAGATATATACAAACATACAAAGCCTATAATATGCTTATAAAATGCGAAGAGAGAGAAGTAAAAACAAAATAATTTCCTAAAAATTATGTCAACCTTTTTGTTTCTTCACCATGCCTTCTGTTAGGAGAAGGGCATGGTTCGTCAGAATACAAATAAAGACATAGGTACCAATAAGACATAATTAAAATAAATAAACATTAATAGGAACATTGATAGGTACTACTTTGTTATGCTATACCTAATTAGTTATTATTGTTTTCTTTAAAAAAAAATTGTGACTTGGAGGGTATTTGGTATAGCCTTCAAGTAGGTAACCCATAATATTCAGTCGACTTATTTTTTTCACATACCTAGTACCTAAGCGAGTTTTATCTCCCCTAGGGCATTTATACTTCAGCTTAATAATCAAAATCATTATACCTCTTAAAAAAAAAGCTACTAAACACAAATTTTAAAAAATATTTGAACCATTTTTTGAAAATAATACCTACATTCATCCGCATTCCAATCTATAAAAGCTCCCTTCATAAATTATCCAATAGCATAGGTGCTTATTTATCGTGTGGTTTTTAAATTCCCTACCTGTAATATCTAAGAGCGAGTTCAGGTTGATTGTTATAAAAATGATACATTCCGATACAGGCGATGGCTTCGGTATTCATGGCATCTTCGATCACAATGCTCCTGTAATATTTCACCGAGGCCTGGGACTCGTTCAGCGCTTCAGTGAGCCGGGCCAGTTCTGTCATAACCGATACGTCATTGGGGAACGCTTCTAGAGCTTGTTTGCATACCTCGGTAGCGGTAAGTGGCTGATCTATAAATAATTAAATATCGTGATAACATTTCTCGAACTAGAAAATAAGACTGCAGAAAAAAAAAAAAAACCTGCTTATTATCCTGTCAGAAATACACTTAGGTATTAATCAAAAGAACTGCTGATCGATGGCCTCTTAAATAAATCATTATATTTCAAAAATAAGAACTGCTCAAGACAATTTCTTTTTCAATAGTGAAATGTATGATGTGGAGGTAGATTGCATACCGGAGCCCCAGCCCAAATTATCAAGGGATCCAAAAACCACAAAATTGATGGCCGAAGTTGAAATTATAATGGATTAGTTATAGTTCGTTACTATGCGTGTTTTCTTAATAAGAAATTTCATCAAGTAGGTACCTACTTACCAAGTTTCAAGTAAAATTTTATCCGAAAATAAAGCTTAGCCTAGCACTAGAAAAGATGATTGTGTAATTGCATACCACAGGAAAAAATCGAAAAAAAGTTATTTACCTGATGTTTTGAAGAATATGAAAAAAAATTGGTGATTCGTATAGATGGCGGAGCAAAATGTTTTGGAAATACAATGGTTTCTTGATATTGGTTCATATATTTGCTTAAACCAAATTAATTTTAGTATTGAGTTTAATTTTGAGGTGAAAGTTTCTATTTTGTGTTATTTCTCCATGTACACGGATATTTATGACAAAGTTAGTGAAAGTATAATATTTTTTCAATGCTTTTTATATGTACTTGCTGATGATTTCAACAAAATACCAAAAGAACAGCTCTTCCTACGAAATGGTGCCTGTTCCAAGCGTGTAAGAATATTGAAACCAAATTTGGACACAACATTTTTTGTGCCTCAACTATATAGTGATGCCGCGAGACGAGACGAAAATACGCTCTGTCTCGTCTTGTCCGAAGGTTCGGGAGAAAATGAGTCTTTCGTCTCGACGAGAGACCTTCGATACGAGACGAGACAGCTCTTCTCTCGTGAGTTTTAACGCATAGTAAGTTGATTTCGATTCTGCTCCCTAACTAAAATGTATAAAAATTTACCTAATATTACTCTAGGGTATTATCAATGGGTTCTGGATAATATCGGACATTTACGGATTTACTTTTTCATCTTAACAGAGGGTTCGGGATGCCACTGGCATAATCGAGCCTATTTCAATCAATAAAGAATGAAGGCTTTCACGGCCAGTCAAATCTAGTAAAAAAGTTTTTTTCCGGGCTATAATGCCGTAGTCGAGTAACATTTCTACCTAAAGTTTCGTGTACTGCTGCGGTAGACATGTTCAGAGACGGTGTGGTAGAGGATGAAGTGATCTCTTCCATGTTCTTCCGATGACTGGATTCGACGTTGTCGGACCTACGTTATTTATATCACGAGTTGTGGGCGTGGCTTGTATTACGCTATGTTCCTTGGCTCGTTCTCGGAAAGGAAGGGTTTTTGTTTTTCGGAGAACTGGCCACCAGCTATTGTTAAGGTTCATGCCCTCTTCTTTTCTGTTGAAGTTGTTGTGGTGTTTCTGTATCTCTATGATTTCTCTGTGGAGCCTGGTGTTTGTTCCTATCTACTGCTTGAGTTTGGTCGAAACGAATGACATGGTTTGTTTGTGTTAACACGTGTTCGGCGATTGCTGATCTATCTATTTGTCCCTGCTGACAGTTTCTTTTGTGTTCTTCAACCCCTGATGTTGTGTTGATAGAGCGTTTGGTTCGAAGTTTGGTTGTTCCTACATAGACAGATCCAGAAGAGCAGGGGAATTCTGTAGACGCCAGTCAATTCAAGAGGTGCCTTAGGATCCTTGGCCGTTCTTAGACTTTGCTGAATTGTTCTTGTGGGCTTGTAGATGAGGTTAATGTTGTGTTTCTCTAGCGTTCGTCCTATGCGATCTGTGACATTTTTGATGTAGGGAAGAGAGGCTCTCCCTGCCACCTGTGCTGGTTCCTTATTATTTGTGCGCTGTGGCTTCGGTCTTATAGCTCTATTTATCTTCTGGTTGGGGTACCCATTTCCTTCAAGTGCTGATTTTAGGTGTTGCATCTCGTCCTGAAGGTATCTGGGCTCACAAACCCGGATTCCCCTGTCAGATAGAGCTTAAATGACTCCCCTCTTTTGCCTACTATGATGGTGATTGGATTCCTTGTTGAGGTATCTGTCCGTATGCATCGGCTTCCTATATACTCCCAGTTTTCCTGAGGGCAATTTTGTTGTCCTCAACTTCCATCGTAAACTCTATCCTGGGTTCTGTTGAGTTTAGATCATTAAGGAAGTTTTCGAGCTCTGCCCGTCCATGGCTCCAAGCAACAAAAGTGTCATCTACAAAGCGAAACCAACAAGTAGGTTTCTTTGTGGCCGTTCGCAGTGCCATTTGTTCAAAAGTGTTCCATGTAGAAGTTGGCGATAACCGGGCTGAGTGGACTCCCCATTGCGACTCCATCTGTCTGCTTGAAGAATTCATTTTGCCATTAGAAATACGTAGTCGTCAGACAGTGATGAAATAAGTTGTTGATTTCCTCCGGAAAAACATCTTTCAGATACTCTAAGGCCTGATTCACTGGTATCTTGGTAAACAACGAGACGACATCAAAACTAACCAGAATGTTGTTTGGTAGTAGAGTGATGTCACTAATTTTTTTTGATAAAATGAGTGGAGTCTTTAATATAAGAGCTGGATTTGCCAATCCGTGGCCGAAGGAGAGTGGTGAGGTATTTGGCTATGCTGTATGTGGGCGAATCTATTGCACTTACAATGGGTCTGAGTGGGTTACCTGTTTTGTGAATCTTCGGAAGCCCATAATACATTCTAGGGAAAGGCCTCAGATCTAATGAGTTTCCTTACATTTTCCGGGTCCAACGGTAGTGCTCGGATGAGTTTATTAATTTTTCGCAATATAGAAGCAGTGGGACTGCGCTTCAGCTTTCTGTAGGTAGAGGGGTCTAGGAGTTCAGAAATTTTTAATTTATAGTCAGTCACGTTCATGATTACCGTTGCTTTTCCTCGCAGGCAGGACTAGTATGTTCTTGTCTGTATTCAGATTGCGAATAGCTTAGCTTTCCTTTCCTTGTATGTCAGGTTGCACTTTGGAGGTTGCGCCAGTCGTAGAATCCTAGATGTTTCATTGCATATTTCCTCCGCAGTGGTTTGAGGTAGTGTGCGTATGCTGGCTTCCACATTTGCTATAATCATACTATGATGTCTTCGAATGGCAGGTCTTTCGGTGTTATTGCAAAATTGCCTCCTTTTCTTAGAACACTGGTTTCCGAATCAGTCAGAATGCGTTGGGTCAGGTTGACAACAATATTTTAATCACATGAAAATAGTTTTATAAAATCGACGTTTTGTGATTTCAATAGATTTTTTTAAAATTCAAATAACGCTTATCATAGAAAGGAGCTGGCATTTCCAATTTTCGTACACATATCTGGAGGCATCACTAAATCTGTCATAGTTTTCCGCAGAAACATTCCATGCGTTTTGAAGAATGAAAATTCTACCCGGGTTTCCCGAATTAGCCGATCACTCCTCATTTATTTCCCTTTTTTATTCTCAAAATACGAGCAGGTACATACACTGTAATGGACACAGCTAGTAGCATTTATAATTATTTTATCCAATTTTAAAAATTAAAAAATACTCACCAATTCTAATATAAATTCGGATAAGTCTGATAAAACTTTCAACATTTGGATGTTGCCTTATCGCACTTTTGATCTGCTGTTCAGCATCTCTTATCAAATTCAAGGCTACATAACATTTTGCTAATTGAATTTTCCACCACCAGTCCTAAAATGAAAATTAACGTCAATTGGGTATTTTTCTGCAAGAGGTATACTTGCCTTAAATTCGCACGCTTGCGTTGCTAATACTGCCAATTCCATAGCATTTCTTACATCACCTTCATGATAGTAAAGATATTCAAATAAAGGTTTGTTTAAGGCTTTATTTTTCGCATATTTTGAAAGGTTGAGTCGGGAAATTTGAATAAATGGCCCTGAAAGAAAATATTACAGATAGCTGAGAAGCCAAGATTTTTTTCTACATCAGAATTTGGGTATAGTATATGTTGGTACTAATAGTCATGAAAACTTTGCCCAAAAATGTTGATTAGAAGGTTATCAGGGTTTATGCAAAATTTCAAAAATATCTTTCTGCTGAGCAGCTGCTGCGAAAATCAACAATGGGACAATGAGTATCCTAGCATTATTAATTGCTAGTTGCAGCGGTTATATTATATTAAGAAACATACTTAATTCACCAGCGGGCCCTGTCTACATACCATCTTTTTGCGTTAACATAGCAGCAGTTCCCAATCTAATAGATCTTGCTGATTGACTTGTAGTACCTCTGGAAGTTCGCAGCCGTTCCAGTGCCGTCCCAGGTCCGGCTAATTGGGTACCAGGGCGGACAATGCCGGAAATTGGCCTTCCTGTTGCCGTACGTGGTCTAGCTCTGTAAAAATATATATATTTCGAAATTTGAAAATGCTGTTTCGACACTTACCCTAGTGCTGTGGCATTAAGTCCATTATTTGTTGTTTTCAATGATGTGCCGGGTCTGGGCGCAGTAGCTACAACATTACTGTCCAAAAAGTCGTCCTGAACCGCTGGATCTTCGCTCTCTAAATCATCGACATATACCTACAAAATTGAAAGTGTGGCTTGGCTGAAGTAAAGTTCAAAACTTACTCTTTGAGTCATAGCTTGCATTTTCAAACACCACGCTGCTTGGTCCAGTGGCTGCCTATCCAAGATGCTAGTGCAAATATCAATGCACTTATCATAATGTCGTCGACGGAAAAGGCTTAGAGCTAAATACATAGGGTCCATTCTAGAGAGAAAAGTCTAGTTTGTGATTATTTACACTAAATGCGCAATGGGTTCATTGTCCGTAATGTTTGTATCGACGTTGTTCTTAGTTACGGAGCAATTGAGGCAATTTGATTTCTATATACTAAGGCTCCTAGGTTTAGCTTCCTTATTTTTAAAGGTAAAAAACGAAAACACAGTTGTGTACTGGATCTTTATATCTCCTCTTGCGCTTCTCTATATAATTTTCCAAAAATTTTTGTTTCTCCCTAGTACCTATAAGTATAGCTTTTTAATCTCATCTTTCTTCTCAACAGGCCACTTTCTTGTTCGATACAAATGTGCTCCTGACTTTATTCTTCATTTTTTGTATTAAGCCCATATTCCATGCTTAGTACCATTGTACTGTTTTTACCAAAACCTTAGCTGGCATACTTGTATTCTTAATTCCGCGACGGTAGACTGAATCCTATATTTGCTCTAATAGTGGCATATCGTGTCTATGCATTACAGTAGCTGGGGAGCGTTAATGGAGTTTAGATGGGGTATTCAACTCCGTATTTGTCCTAAGATAATTTACATTATAACAAAGTTGATCAGATAGCAACTTTCAAAACTGATCCATCGATCGGTGATCTGCTGAATGATAATAGTACCTATCTGAAAGGGGTGAAAATGAAAAGTTAAGCATGCGCATCCCAACTAACAAAGTGGCTCTGATTATAAAAATAATTTGGTACGATTTTATTTCAACATCACTGGATTACTGTTCTGCAAAAGCATGCAAATATTATACCTTTATCTATTGGGGGCCTCTTCTGGTCCAGGGCAAAATTACCAATTATTATTTCTTTGGGTTTTCATTGACCCACTGGCGAAGTTATCAGCTACCCATTTTGAATTGTTTTACGACTTACTGAGAATATTCTCATACCAACATCATAACACGTTTTTGCAGATTCTGTTTTTCGCTGTTTTGTAAAAACGTTAATGTAGCAATTTTAATCGAACTGGTTTGCTAGGGAAACAAAATTGATTCATAATCGAGTGTGTTCCATGTGATCGACTGTCTAATGTGATGTAACGAAAAAATGGCAATGGAAATTTTAATCCAATGGTTAGAAAACTGTTACTCTTCAGTTGTAGTTGGATGCTGGCTCATCAGAAGCTGAGAGGAAGACAACCTCGACCACAAATTGCCTGGTCCTCCTCTTCTGGCAGGTGAGTTGAAACAACGGGCTACCCATGGGCTACCTAAATCCCCTCCCAGTTTCTTGCAAAAAACTGTAGCCTGTTGAAAGACAGCAGCCACGGAAGTCGGAGAGGAGCTTAAAGTACCTACCTATGTGATTTTGCCCAGAAATTGATTTTTTTCCTTTAATTTCTTTATTCATAAGAATGTGTGGCATTACTTACCTATATTTTTGAGTTTTTTAAAATTTTTGCCTGGCACAGACGCATAGAGAATGGAGGTCAAATATAGTAGAAAAAATTTCCAAAACTTTTTTGTTTTCTCCAACTTTAAACTTTTCTCTATCTACTGAAACCAATCAAATCCTCTGGAAATGTTTAGTCAACAATTTTTGCGCAGTTTCAATAGTTTCACAGCTTCCAAATTGAAAATCAAGGACAACACACAAAAGGAACTTTTTTTTCCCCCAATTTGAACTTCTTCTGTATCTACTTGTAAAATTTCAATTGAATCCCTCAAACGCTTCCATAGCAAAACACTTCCATTAATGTATTTTTTTTTTTTTTTTTTTCAAGTTGATTTTTTTTCCAAAACGACATCACTCATATTTTGCCTCGCAACTTCTTTAATTATTGCGATCTTAGCGTAATTAGACTCGAATGAAAGCCAATCAAAGAATCCTCTGCAAACTACAATTTGAAATGCAGCTTCAATAGTTTGGCAGCTGCAAAGCTTTAAAATTGAAAATTTGAGGCGACCCAGCAGAAGGAAACCCCCCACTTGAGGAGATATAAAAAAAAATCAGAAGATATTCATCATTGGTAATTTTATTGGGATCTCGATTTTCTCGAAAACTGTTAAAGTTGGTTATAGGATATTAAAAATGCTTATAATTTCTTGTAGAATCTAAAAATACTTTATTATACAGAGTGATAAATTTGACAGTCAATTGTTTTTATGCTGAAATTCCGCATCGATATCAATAATATACATCCTCAAAATTTCAAATCAATATCAACTTCCATGCTTAAGATAGAGCTAGAGATACCTCAACATTAAAAAATAAAATTTGAATAACCTATATCTCACAGTGTTAATATGTTTATTATTATTTTTGACTTATTATGCTACCCTGCTGGAAGAACTACACAACTCTATCAGCAAAGCAACTAATGACATTACGTGCTAAAAAAATAAATTAGAAAACTACTTATTCAAGTAATGAAGCACACAAACGTTGACCAACCTCACTAGATAAATACCGGATAACCATGAGATGGCCTCTACTTTAGACATAAAAATTCATACCGATTTTCATATCAAGCTTGAGCTTGGTAAGTAATTTTGTGGTCACCCGATATATAAAGTTTTGAGTTCAACAATCTGTACATTAATATTATAAAACCTAATTTCATATACAAGGCGATCCTTTAGGGCATTGAGAAAATTCAGAAGTGGATTCTCTAGGATGAAAACTAATACACATTAAAGACAAAGTCCAGATATTATTTTTCAAAGCCAATAGGATAAATACACTTTATGGATGATTTGTCGTCCACCAACAAAGTGGGATTTGGCCATGGGCCATATTCCATTTTAATAGTCTAACTTATCTTCTCAAAAATTCAGTCCTGAATTTTCTTGATCTACTTTAGGATCTTTAAGCGTGATAAATAATATTTAAGTTAAAAAAATTTAATAAAGCTATCACAATTCATCTTTAGAATAGGCCTCACGTGGATACGATTCACTAATAATTAAGCCTACTTTAGGGCCCAGTCGCTTGCAGCCTGTTTTTGAAAATAGCCTCGACTGATCGGGGCCCCAGTGGATAAACTTCATAACTTCACTGAAAAAAAAAAATTGATTTACAAACATATTACAAATAGTTTAAATCTTACTCTATATGTTCTCTTCTTGGGTTATTGACTCTTCTAACCTTGAACTCTTTTTCAATACATTTTATAAGGTGTTTTTGTTCCAGTGGTAAAAATGGAATATAATGATCAATTAAATTGTTGGTAATTGTGTCGCTATGAAAAAATCCACCTGAAATGAAAGAAAATTATTTCCTAAATGCCACAAATATGCAAAAACTGAATCACTATCAATAAACCCTCCCCTTTGAACCAACCTTCTTCATTAAAAGCTCCTTTCTGAATAAAATTTTCAAAATCAGATAACTTCAAATCTTCTCTCTGCTTGCCCTCGCTGACATACAAATCGTGATAATGCTCATTGATAATATTGGCACCAGTGTTCGATAGGAAAATGAACACGGCTTCAGAAAATTGAGCAGCTTGGTGATTATAATCAATCCAGGGTTTTATTGCATTGAGAACTTCAGGAACCATTTTATCTACCTCATCGAATATGAACAGTTGCCTGGGACATTGAGTAAGGTTGCCTCTTATCCAATCATACAAATCAGCCTAAAAATACATACTTATTAACATTGGGCAGTTTCCAAATTTTTCGAAATTATTATCTTTCACATGCTTTTTCAAAGATCAAATATAGGCTGAAATCAACATGTTGTTTTTTTAACAAAGAGGTCTACCTTTACGAATCTCAGCACCTTCTTACAGTTCATTCATGAAGCATTAGATAAAAAATGTCTGGTTGATGAAGTGTACACAAATCTGGAGGATATGGATGTATCTCAACTTATAATTAATTTAATTTATTCATATTTAGGAGCTGACCAAAGTAAACGATATCAGTATGTTGGAATTAGGGGAATTAGGGTCTGTAAATCTTTACTTTTCACCAAAACATCAGGTATTCCACAGGGGTCAAACCTGGGTGTTTTTGGTTGCATTTGAAAAGGTATTGTCGGGGGTAAGGAAATCACTTGGTTTTGCTGACGGTGACGATTTCAAGTTGTTTTTATTTTGTCAGGAGAAAAAGTGGCATTTTTGCCTCTGTCAACAGGTACAAAAAGTCTACTTTTTTCCCGTCACAGAAAAAAAATATTTTTATGCACAATGTACAGGGTGTCCGAATTTGGATGTTTTTAATAGGAAACATCAATTTCTGAGCAAGATACAAAAAAATTAACCCACCACTCCGAAGCTCAAATTTCTTGAAATTTTGATTGGTGCAAACCGCATTTTGATATCTTCAACCGTTTAGCCGCTAGAGGGCGATTCTCGTTTTTGAGCAATAATGTGAAACCATCATAACTTTTTTGTTTATGAAAATTATTGATTTCCGTAAAAACTTTCTAGAAGCACTTTTTCAAGCAGAATTCAGTGACGTTCTCAGTTTTTTTCTAGTTGGTCCCAACTCTGAGATATTGACCAAAGTCTGTTTTTTTTCAATAGGACACCCTATATATTAATAGCTCATTAGAAAGCTCGGCTTTTTCTGATTTCAATGATAAAAGTTCGATAGGTTTATCTCTAACAGTTTTCGAGAAAAAAAATTATTTCGGTTTTTGTCTTAAGAAGCAATGTGTAAGAAAAGGACTTGCACCCAAGGACTCTGTAAGGAAACTGAGAAAGGTCTCTCTCTAACGCATTGTTTCTTATGACAAAAGCCGCAATATTTTTTTTTTTCTCGAAAACTGTTAGAGATAAACCTATCGAAATTTGTATCATTGAAATCAGCAAAAGCAGAGCTTTCTACTGAACTATTAATATATAGGGTGTCCCATTGAAAAAAATCGTATTCTGGTCAATATCTTGAAATCGAGGCCCAATAGAAAAAAACTGAAAACGTTACTGAATTCTGCTTGAAAAAGTGCTTCTAGGAAGTTTTTACGGCAATCAGTTATTTTCATAAACAAAAAAGTTATGAAGATTTCACAGTATTGCTCAAAATCGAGAATCGCCCTCTAGTGGCTAAACGGTTGAAGATATCAAAATGCGGTTTGCACCAATCAAAATTTCAAGAAATTTGAGCCTCGGAGTGGGGGGGTTCATTTTTTTGTATCTCGCTCAGAAATTGACGTTTCCTATTAAAACCATCCAAATTCGGACACCCTGTACAATGTTCCAATAATATTGACTGCCTGGGTTTTTTGGAACAGCTACCTTTTGCTGTTAACCAAATAAATATAAATTTGAGGAGTAAAAATATGTTTTATTTGGCTTACCCTAGACTAGAACCAATCTATCGAGCAATCTATACAAGTGTTTTCGGATCTATAATTTGTGTAATCTATTCAACCTTTATGCCTCAGACATAGATATAGATACTATTATCCTTAAAGCATTTAAAGTGATAATTGACAGAACAGTGTACTGATCCTAAAATTGTATTTCTTCACATATTGTGATTGGTTCAATTTTTTTAAGATTGTTTGTACGGTTTTGATGTATGTTACCTTTATTTTGACAATATCTGGTATTAGCTCTGCTGTTGAGACTTGGAATAAATAAATAAAATATCCTGTCAAGTTCGAGGGGTCAACCAAATGTGGTAATAGGTGTACACATTTCGGTAATAATTACGTCATAACTGGTAATAAGACCTATACTGTATTTTCTCCCAAGATAGATTTTGACACTGTGCAATTTGAAACATAAACAATGCCGTTTATTGGTTGCAACATGTCATTTGCACGACGTGCATTGGAAAACCGATTCCAACCTGCAGGGAAACCACATTTTGTTTATGTTTCAAAGTTTCCAATGTCAAAATCCATCTTGGGAAAAAATACACTTTAATAATAATAAACAAATAAAGTTTTATTTAAAGTAATACTTAATTATTCGAAATAACTTGTAATAACTTTTTAATGAAACAAACTAACTGGAAGTTAAATGTAATATTTACATATGGATGTATTTCAACCATGATAGATGGTAATAAAACGTAATAATTGGAAGTAAAATGTAATAATTACGTAATAACTCATAAAAGATGGTAATGACCATCACCAGTAATATGTGGTAATATTATTACGAAACTGGTAATAGTTGTACACATTTTGGTGGGTGGTTGACCCCTTGGTCAAGGTTCCATACTTCCATACCATCAACCTACCTTATATTGTGAAGTGTATTTCTTTTCGGCAAAATGTTGGCGTCCAATAAAATGATGCACAAATTCACTCCGAGATCCTAAACTAAACAAACTGTCGGCTATAAAATTTGCGACATAATTTTTGCCTGTGCCAGTCATACCATGAAAACTCAAAGTTAAAGGTTTCGGCGATCTGTAATAAGGGTTGAAATGTGCCGTTAATGCATCAACTGCGGTTAGAAGCAATGGCTGCCCATAAACATGTTCCGTGAGGTTTCGTTTGAGACCTTAAAGCAAAGATCAGGTATAATTTAGCCACGCACCATAGTTCAACTCACGGTTTCTGTCGAATTTAATGTAACCATCATTACAGCATTCGTTAATTAAACAATACGGATTGTATCGGAAATTCGTTAGCCTGGGTGATATTGGAATTCCTAATAAACTAAATGCGGAAATATTAGAAAAATAAAATATAAACAAAGTGTAAAATTGAATATTGTTCATTGTAAATTTATTTGGTTTTTCTTTTCTGTTAATTCAATTGATTTCACTACCTAAATGAATACATAAAAAAAATTAAAAAAATTTGAAATTTTTTAAAAACATGAAAATTTATAAACAAAATAGTTAGGTTAAGGTTAAGCAGTAAACCGGTTAGGAGCAGTGTAGTAGGAGCAGTGTAGCCAGCCCTTGCAGTGTAGCCGCGTTCTTTTTACGTGTCACAAACATGCTCCGGAGCTATTCGTTCAGAGTCATTCGGAGTAGCTCCCAAAAACTAGCTTTTCAAAAGGCAAACGCTGAGTTTGGCTTTGCAACTCCACGGAGCGAAACGGTATGAGCATGGATATCGTGACGTCATACGCAGAGTAAGCTGATAGGTCATAAGCCGAATGCAGATCGAAAAAAAAATCCTGAAGCCTTTGTTTGTCACTAATCTCAAAAAAATATTGTTTATTGTTTTGTTTTGAGGTGTTTTCTCGCGTCTCAAAGTTTTAAAACTTTTTCCAAAACTGGTTTAAAACAATTTCGCAATGACGTCATACCTTCGCGGCGCGAGAAAATGATTTAATAATGTGGATTGGATTGTATTTCGAAACGGTTTGAACCAATTTTGTGTAATGTCATGGGTTCATCGCGAAAATATACTAGGCAATTTCTCGCGAGGATAATCAAGTATATTCTGATTATGCTGGGTTATGATGTGATGTGTTAATTGTGTCATACTCCCCAAACTCCCTCCCCAAATTCTGGGCCTACGAGTGACGTCACTATCAGCAGCTTATATTGATGACGTCACCCGCAGACCTCGATGCTTGCGATTCAGGCTGTGCTAGTGAGTTAATTTTTTCATCGATTTTAACTGTGGAAAAGCTGATTTTCGATCTGTTCTCACAGAAGAAATTAAATGTTCTAGATCCTCGAGTATCCCAGAATTTGATGGCGGCGGAGTTAGGGGTGTATGACACAAATGACACACCACATAATCCAGCAAAAGAATTTATGCTCGGTTATCCTCGCGGAAAATTGCGAAGGTTCGTATTGAACCTTTATTTTTGTTCTATTCGTAAAGACTTGAACATTTATATCGCTTTCGACTTTTGCCTCAAAACTGCACCCGATTGATCAAAAAGCAATACGAAAGGGATTCACATGTTCGGCTTAAAACGGAGCGTTGCACCGCCCAGGACGAGGAGTGCTCCGGGAGCAGTAAAGCCGAAAATGCTATAAGTTTCATACGACTTGTACATTACTCCAAACAACAAACAGAACAGCGAACCGAACGGCAATCGAAACTAACTCAAAATACTTTTAAAAAAATGTCAATTTTTGGGGTTTTCTATGAGATTTGGCTTGAATAAGGGTTAATTTTCCGTCTTATGGCGTTTTCAACCAAACTTTGGACGGCGCTACGAACCAAGGGTTTTACACACTACTACAGGATTGATCATCGACCTCGATTTTCGTAATCAAAGTCAGATGGAGTTGCACTGTTGTCGACGTCATCAACGGTATCGTTAGTTGTTTGCCACCAGTCGTAGTTAACAATATAGATTTATGATGAAAAATATTATTTTGAATTTGAATATCAATAGGTATGTTTCTGCAGAAATCTCAAACCAGTCAGTCATTGGTTGAAACTAGTTTTTCTGACTGTTTCTGACTGTTTTCAACCAATGAAATTCGCTCTGACTGGTTTGTGATTTCTGCAGAAACAGACCTATAATAAGCAAAGTCGGCAAAGAAAGAGGAAAATGCAAACGAGGTTTCATTTGGAATGATAATAATTAACATACCTACTAAAACCAAGCATGCATAAAGCAAAGGCCAGCGGAATCAAGCCTGTGGTGCAAACAACCTACGTTAAGGCGAGAAAAAACACGCTGGCTACGTCATCAATGGTACGAGTAGGGTTGCCAAGTCCTTTTTGCGTTTCGCGGGATTTTCTAGTAAAAAAAGCGGGACAGGAGTCACTTTAAACACTTTATTCTAGAAAAAAAGCTATCCGCAAATAGATTTTTCGTCATATTGTACTGTTCTCTTACTATTAACATGAGCGAAAGCCCGAATCAAACTATTTAAAGGGGGTGTGCGCCAAAAAAACAACTTCATCTCAAAAAAAAGAGAAAAAGAAATCTAAGAATAACAGTGAAATCCGCACCCCTCTATGACAAATAATACCGCAGATATGTCTCTATGAAAGTACCGCATCTCACCCTATGACGTCACGGAAGCTCAAGTGACGCACGAGAAAGTGGAGTTAATTAAATTTACATATGTTTTTCCTGTGTTACCTGTAATAATCTAAACAAAAACCACTCAGGCGTGCCGGGAACAATCAAATTAACAATGCGGAGTGCGGCTGAAAGAAGTTTTCGTGACGTCACGAGAGCGTCGTCCACACTTTAAAGCGGTATATCTCAGCGATGGTTTATCGTAGAATAACGAGGTTTGAACAGTTATCTTAGATTTTTTTACACTAAAACTTTAATTTTTGGCGCACACCCCCTTTAAATGCACGAAAGCCAGCGCATCTGTTCCTCTTAAATCAGGGTCGACTAACACCGGCGCGAGTAGCTCTAGTGTTCTAAGCTCTTGAAAGGAATACAACTAGTGTGAGCAGTGCTAGAACTTTTTACCATTTCGAACTCATCTTTGCTTTCCATCTCCTAAAGCCTAGTACTCATAACCGCGAAATTTGCTCTTTTTTGACATTGCGTCGACAATTTGACGTTTTATGCGTGAATCAAACGCCAAATTGTCGAAGCAATGTCAAAAAAGAACGAATTTCGCGGTTATGAGTACTAAGGTTTAAGGAGATTTTTAGTCGATAAATAGAATTCTATTCTAGTGAGTGTCGCTAGAGCTGGGGGAGTCGAGTAAATTGAGCTCACTCCAAAAGTTCCACTTAAGGAGACTTTTTTAGAGTAAACAGAGTCATCAAAATGTCAAAGTGCCTTGTTCCTTCCGTGCATTCGATATTTTGGTCTGAGTTCTCCGAGCTTAAATTTACCGTTCGTTTAATTAAAACGTGTACTCGGTGCAGGCTCATTCGCGTTCGTTTATCAAAATTTCGGGCACTCTGATACAGCACTCAACTGTTCTGTTCGCTCGCTGGTCACGTGAAAACCGCCCCGTCCCCCGCTCATCACGCTCTGTTCTTTGAGCAAAATACCCAACACTGAACGCAAGGCTTGTTGTAGACTGTTGAGGTTTTGGGTACTTGGAATGAGGACTGAGGAGTGTGGCTTGTTGATGTTAAATAATCAATTTGTTTATATTGTTTTAATTACTAAAATATCAATTAAAATAAAAATGGAAATAAACAAATTCACCTACGTTAACACCATGTAACCGATAACATAACATTTTTTTTTTTTCAAATTTGTGGTTGTCTGTTCAAAATAAGGAATACAAGAACTTCTGCAAACAAAGTTTGTAGACTGTTTACGATATTCAAAATTAATTCATCCAAAAACTTCGAAAATTGCCTTAAATAATAGATTAAGAGGTCTCAGTCTCAGCTCCAACTTAAATCCACCTACCTCAAGAAATAATATTCGTGGGTGAAGACGCCAGTAACAATTTTATTTTCTGGCTTTCTTGTTCCACGTTTCACCTATAATGAATGAGAGGTAAGTCAACAGATTTGGGAGACTTAAAATCATGGCAGAATGTTGCATGCTAAAAATAGTTTCAATCGTAACAGGATTCAATCCAAAAATAGTTCTAGGAATTATTTGGTTGGTTATTTTATTGTTAGAATTAAGAATGCCCTAGAGCTTTAGATTTCATATTCAAATATCCTGAATGAACAGTTTTAATAGTACTGCCACAAGCCTCCTTCAAGGTTTAGGCAAATCTACTCGCAGGGGTATTAAAAAATGCTTTAAATGTGGTGTCTATAATGGTACAAGGGGCTCGTTTTGCAAAAACAAACAATGTGGCATTTCTCTCAAGTCTTTGGATGATCAAAAATTCGATTCTGATGCTGTGAAACTAAGTACAGGCACTGTGAGGCAAGTATATTCAGTCCGAGTTAAGGATAGTTTATTAGAATGCCGTGGTTTTGTACAGCTATCTTTGTTACAAGACAATGCAAATGTGGCTCTATGCTTTGTCGATTCTTGCCAAAGATCATTTGATAATTCCATATTGAAATGCCATGAAGAAGGCTCGAGCAATGTAGAAACAGAACTATGTGACCATATTAAATTAGTTTTAAAAAGCCAAACTATAGCCAAACCAATTAATTTTAACATAAACATTCTAAGTGAACTAAAAATAAAAATGCCAACTGAAATCAAAGACAAATTAAAAGCACTGGCATCAGATAATGATAGCCCTTTAGTGCAACAAGTTTCAAGAGATGTTATGGCAGTTAAATGTCAAGTAACCCCAAAACAACCTTTAGGGTATCTACATTTTACTTTTGTGAAAGGACGAAGTAAGAGTTATGAAAAGTGTTATTGTAGTTGTACAGAATATCATATCTCAGGTAAGATTATATATTAAATATTATCTAGATTTATGTGAACATATTTTTATTTTGCACTTTAATTCACTCAGAATGCACCATTTCTTTTTAAAGTGTCTCATGATAAGTCAACAACCATCAAATACAAATGCATACACTATTATGCCTGTATTGCCGCCCTTTCAAGTGACCAAAAATATATGGAGGAGTTTTCTTATTTTATAAATGGTGAAATTAATTCTCAAAGTAAGTACTCATGTCTTAACAATATTATTTATGTAAAAATTGGGATGTTTTAGATAAAATTAATATTTTGTCAATGCCTAAAGTAGCAAGGGAAATTACTCCGGTGGATGTTAAGAGAAATAAAATAATGATTATGAAAAATCAGTTAATTAAAAAACCTAAAATACTAAAAAAGGTGAAGAGTACTTTTTTTTTGAGTATTTGGCCATAACAAAGTTTGTTGATGTATATATTAACTTTGCTTCTGAAATTTTAAATTGTTTTACTTTACTCCTTACAGTTTTACATTACATTACTATAAACTGGGAGCATATTGAAGTATGTAGTAGTAGTAGTAGTACTTAGTGTGTTTATAGGTACTTTTTATCTTTCAACTAAAAAAATCAAAGCACTTGGTACCTACTTGTTTTAATATTGCTATCCATATTTCTTGGAGGGATCCTTGAGGCTCTTTTACTAAATAATGCTGGTTATATTAGCTATCATTGGCGATTTTAGCTTATAGGATCAAAATCTGACGCCACCTTAGTCTGGCATATCTACTTTTTCTTATCTACGTTCATACTTGATATGGCCTATTCGAGGGCATAATAAAATATAAAGTATACGCTGATATAAACTCATATCAGAATTGGCAAAAATTTTGCTTAAACTTTATTTGAGCTATTAAGTATCTAGGATAAATGGTTTTCCTTCACATAGCACATATTTTACAATTAGGTATACAATATTTATTCAACTACAACTCAAATACTATTTTTTGTGAGTTAGGTAATTTCTAACAATGTGTATATATGTAACATGGGTGCTCACAATGTTTTTAGAGAAGGTTTATCTCAAAGTACTCGAAATACTTCAATTCTGTGCTAGCGAGTTTTGCTTGCATTACATTACTAACATTTGTTTTCTCTACTATCCGCTGTTTTAGGAAGTTCCAAAATCAACTGTGAAGAAACAAAAATACATTATAAAAAGATGCAAAAAAATTGTACCAAAAATCTACCCAATAGAAATAAAAGTACTTAATGAGGCTTCACTAACGAAAAATGCAGATAATGGTGTAAACTGGACTTTTTTGGATTGGTTAGCCTTTGTCACTGAATCCATAAACAAAACCATGCAATTCATCAACTGTGGAATAATTAATACACAAGTTTTTTATATTCCCAAGGTAATGCATTATCCCCAATAATTAAAAATGATAATATACTTAAAACAAACAATTATCTTCTCCAGCTATTTTTCTTGTCGTTTAAAGATAGAATACCAGAGAATTATGTGGAACAGAAAACTGATATTGGCTCAGTGTTTTATAGAATCATGAATGTCAATCAAGTTAAAGAAATATTTGACACTCCAAAAGTAAGTTTCTGATCAGATAAATGATCCAATTAATTGCTGAGCTAGGTATTTTATTTTTAAGTAATTTTTTTTCAGGTAAAACTACGTATAGCTAAAAAATTTATACACAATGAACTAAATGGCTTTATTGAATATGATGAAAGTAGTAGCGAAGAATCCAATACCCAGTATCACTCTTCATTTATATTCTTTTTGAATGTAGGACAATCTACAGTAGATGAAAGCGATAATTTCAATAATGCTTTTATTATTGAATGGCTTCCAAATATTTGCAGTGTTACTGAAATTGGACAGCTGAAAGTTCAGTACAAATATGGAAAAAAAAGTATCTAAATTACCGAATAAAGAAAAGTTCAAGACTATTTGTTTTTATTAAGTGTTCTTCAGGGATAATTGCGCTTATTATTTAAGATAGGGTTGGCAAATATGACTGGTTCTGAATTAGAAACCTCTGATAGATACCTATGTACTATGTACCTAATGCTCTGCTTCATTTTTGAAGTTTTTAAGAAATATATTTTCCCTTCTACTTGTAGCCCTTGCTTGGACCCTGACATTACTATTTCCTCTGAGAGGTACCACAAATAATTCTCTCAAATTACACGATAAGCTCTTGCAGGCCGTTTTTGTGTTTCTATTGTCAAGTGCTTCAAATATCCTCAATGTGTATCTCCTCCATTTTTTATTTTCCGCATAATGATGTCTTGGAAGCATATTATTATTATTATTAGGTATGTGTTCCAGTAGTAGGCGGATTCCAAATCCGATGAGACTACTGAGTCTGTTGTACTACGTGTGTCACTGTTTAGTATTTTCAATAATCACATTTTGATTGGTCATGCAGAGTAATGCACAAACATATTGTTCCAGTCTTCGATATCTTTATCAAGGCGATTTTTGAACTGGTTCTTTGTTGTTGAGTTTACGGTGTCGCTACTCAAAGAGTTTCAATGATACATCACCCTGTTGGACAAGAAGTTCCGTCTAAGCATTTTGTTGCACTTTTCTTTGGATATCTTTTTGTTGTGACCTCTCAATCTTTGATTATTGGGGAGTAGGTATATATTGGTTAAGTTGCAGGCATAATATCCATTGACAATTTTGAATGTCTCGATAAGATCTCCTCTAGTTCTGTGGTCCTTCAGTGTGGTCAGGTTTAATTGAGTTAGTCTGATTTCATACGGCAGTTCTTTAAGTTCACTAGGAATTGTAGTAATTCGCCGTTGAACTCGCTCAAGTTGTTCAATGTCCTTCTCATAGTAAGGGTTCCAGATGGATTGGGCGTACTCAAGTTTTAATCGAATGTAGGACTTATACAATTTCAAAATCATCTCTTTAGAGTGGTCTTTGACTGCTGTTTGGATGAGATATGTCATTGGATTTGTGTTGGTAATGTGAGTATCCCATTTTAGGTCTGCCGTCACTGTGATTCCAAGGTCTTTCTGTTTTGCAACAGTTGCTATTGCTGTTTTTTGTAGAAAATAGCTATGACTTGGGTTATTCTGACCGATAATTAGTCTAGTATATTTGGAATCATTAAGTGGCATACCCCACTTTGTTGTCCATTCTTTTATTCTGACCAGATTTTGCTGTAGATCATTATGTTGTGATAGTGGGTTACTATATAGGTTACTATCATCCTCAAATGATGCATTTTTTGTTGTAAGTCGCTGGTACAGATCGCTCAAGTACGCTATAAATGAAAGGAGACCGAGAACTGAGCCTTGGCAACTCCGCTGTGTACCTGGTGCTCCTGCGACAGGCTAGTACCAATTCGTACCTGGCAAGTACGGCTAGGCAAAAAATCTTCACCGATTAGCCGAAGCAAATCACCCCTAACTCCAAAATGCTGAATTTTGTATTTAATGTATTCGATTGGTATTTTGTCAAACGCCTTTTCGAAGTCAAGGTAGACCACGTCTATTGGTTCCCGGTTGTCATCAGCTAGTGTCCAGTTGTTTAGCCTGATTAGAAGGTTAATGAATGTGGATTTATTTGGAAGAAAGCCATGCTGCTGTGAAGGAATGATCCTTGTTACCAAATGATGATTTTTGCCATGCACTTACACAACATGCTGGTTAAACTAATTGGCCTGTAGTTTTCTGGTAATTGTTTATTTCTTTTTTAAAATATTGGTGTGACAATGGCTCTTTTCCAGGCTTCTGGAAATTCCCCAGTTGTAGATACTTTTTATATAAATACTTCTTGGGTTATATTTGACACGTTTTTGCCTGTCTTTATTGTATTATTGTTAATCATTGTTTTCACTTGAAAAAAAAAAAACTGTTAGGATGATGGTAAAACAAGGTACTATAAGATGACAATCTTTTCAATGCTTCCTGTCCTATATTATGTTTCATACCAAATCTAGAAACCAAAATACACTGTCCAAGGTTTTTGATATGTATGTATTCTCTTCTATTATTATTCATAGTATCTAGTTCTAATAAGGCGCCAATCCGTTATACCATATAGGGATCAAATATCTGATTGATTAAACTCAAAAGAGTTTGTACTAGCTTCCGGACTATAAACAAATCTAATGCAAACATACTCGTTATCTCTGAACTCAAACGCATTTGAAAATCCTTATCAGCCATTTAATTCCTGAACATTTCTGCCTACATTTTAATTTGGCCCGCATTTGTCTAACTGAGTCACTGATCTTTGAACCTCTTGATTAAATATTATTCTTATGTTCATTATTCAGTTGGATGCTGCAAACCACGCAATTATTAAAGTACTAGTTGAGCTATGACGACCAACCTTGATTGTTTAAGTGAAAATGCTCGCATATTCGCAAACGAAGTGCTTAATGAAACTGACGAAAATCGGAGTGTTTGTTTGGAAGATATTAGACAATGGTTGAGGAATGAAGTTCCATGGATAAGGGCTAGAACTGAGGATAAATATTTACTTCCCTTTTTAAGAGGATGTAAGTTTAACTTACCTAAAACCAAACAGAAATTAACCAATTATTATGAAATGAAAAAAGAACGTCCAGAATGGTTTAAAAATCGAAACCCATTAGACCCAATAACTCAAGAACTAATCAAAAGAGGTATTTTTGTCCCTCTAAAACAACCTCATGACAATAAAATGGTTATAATAATAAGGACGGCAGCACATGATCCAAAAAGGCATAAATGGGACGATGTTTTCAAAGCAGGTAAAATGATTCTAGATGTAGCTTGCCAGGAAAACATCAATGCTCAAATCTATGGAGTCATAGCGATCTTTGATATGACTGACATGGGATTTGGACACTATAGATTCATGACGCCTGCTTTAATTAAAAAAGTTGTATTTGCTTGGCAAAACTATCATGTACGACCTAAACAATTAGAATTTATCAATTCACCAACATACATAAATCTAGCTTTAAATGTTTTCAAAAGTTTTATGACAGAAAAAATGAAAAGTAGAGTTAAGGTGCATTTTGGTGGAGTAAGTAAAGCACAAACTATTGTTTCTAGAGATATTTTGCCGTTGGAATATGGAGGAGGCTGTGAGACATTTGAAAGTTTAGGAGAGTTTTGGTTTGAGAAGTTGTTGGAGTATCGTGAATGGTTTGCTGAGGATGAACTTTATAAAGCTCAATAAAGAAATTTGATAGAAAACGAGTTGAAAATAATTAATATCGCGGTAATCAAAAATCATTTATTCAATTGCGAAAGATAACAAGTTTTAATTTTAAATCGGAACATCAATAAATACCTATTGTTCATATGAGCATTCACCTGCTAGCGAAAAATAAATTATTTACTTATTTTTAAACAAACAGTTTTAGTGCAGGAGCTCTTGGTATTATTTTATATTGATTTTGAGTTTTATAAGGTCTTGATGATATAATTATAAATGTGATAGTTGTAAAAAAAATTTAACCACTTTTTTTTTCAAAATAATTTATCATTTCAAGCAAAAAATTTCAAATGTATTTTTTGTCATGAATTTGCTATTTTAGGATTTTTAGAATAGTTTCAGGAGAAGTTGACAAGGGTCATTAATGCCAGTACTTACATTGTAATCTACTTAAACAGTTGAAAATAAACAAATTTGAAAATCTTAAGTTATATAACATTTAGCATTAATACTGCCTAGGATAGAACAATGATGCTACATATTTATTGTTAAAAAAGCATAATTTTATTGTAATCTGGTTATTAGTTCCAAAAATTATAATTTAAACAAATACTTTATTGTTGTTTTATTGTTTCGTGATGTCATTTTTTATTGCTTGTTTTCTATTAAAGAAAATAAAGCGCACAGATAAAAGCCTTGTGCTCTTCAATCAATGGATATTTATAGAAATATAGGAAGAATATACTTCAGGGCAGCGACAATAGTGAAATTTATCCCTTATTTCACTCAACATATTCGCTTCTCATGAAGGTGATATGGATATGTAAAAGTAATCATAGGGTATGAAGAAACTTTCAATGAGCGTTAATGGAAGAAAAAAAGTTTTCAGCTTGATCACAAAAATGATAATTTCATTAAATATAGGTATGTATATAAATGTAGATGAGCTACACCAAATTCTGATGTTTCAATTGTGAGATTTCCCAATTTGGATAATGGTGACAGCTGCTGGGAGTATTTTGGATTTCATCTTCTTAAGCAAACTTTCCAAGAATCTTCAAATTTCTCCTTCAGTAGTGCTTACGTCCTCTAGAATCTCGTGGTTTCGTCATAAGCCTCCTGATGTTGTCAACGGATTTTTGTGGAGCTTTTGATAAACCTTTTTCCAGTTAATATGTCTTCACAGAGTTTGCCATTTTATTGTTCTCAAATACAAATATACTGCTAGAGACTTGAACTTACACATACAGATTTTTAGGCAAAATTCAAAGTTTCACATTTTTGACAAGAATAAAGTTTTTCAATATGAAGTTTAATAGCCTGTTTCTTCCGGATAATGCTACTTGTTGTAAATTTTTCATAGGACCCCAGGGCGGTGATATACGAGGCGATAAATTAGGTGATGTAAAAAATCAAAATGTTTGTGTTTGGGCAAAGACAATACTACTACGAGTAGTAGTATTGTCTTTGGTTTGGGCAATTTCGGAAAAAAAAAATGTAGTCATTACAATATGGTTTGCTACCAAGGTACCATCCATACCTCTAGTCTAGACGCTTTTGTCACTTTTTAAATTTAAGCTCTTTAGCCTTGGATATACCATTAAACGTTAAACGTCAAAATATGGCAACAAAATCTTTAAAATACCGTGATAGACCGTAAGCTCGCTGCCAAAAAATACAACGTTAGTATAACGTATACCCTCTGAGCTTCTGGTAATTATGCATATGCTTGTCAACCTGCAAGAAAAATGAGCGGGTGACTGCAGGACTTGCGCTGAAGAAATTTGTAACATTTTTTTTTTTTTTTTCTTTTACGGATATGCGCACTCGCAAGGAAATGTCCTATCACGCTCGAGAAGCGGCAAGTGCGCGGAAATGTCGGTGTATGTTGGTCTTGAAACGGTTCAGGTTGTAACCTGCAGGGAAAACCGTCGCAGGGAGTTTATTCCACAGCGATGCTGTTCTCCAGAGATATGAATTCTGATATAATGAGGTTCTTGGTGCCTCTAGTTTGACAGTAAATTCATGGTTACCGTCTGTTTGACGGGTTCGCCTGGTAGGCGCTACTCTCGGTGGAATGCTGGTGTGGAACATGCTAAATGTTACGGTTTTTCTTTTCCCGTATATTATTTTATAAATTAAATTATCGCCTTGAATGCTGACAGTCTGGTGACTGCCATTATTAAAAGAAGATTTCTGTCGAAAATAATATCAGCAAATATTAACCTAGAGGGCACGCTTTTCGTTTAAATTTGAAGCACCAGTTTGGTACCAACACTTTCCGTTAGCTATTTTTTGAAGGGAAGCTTTGCTTGTTCAGCTTGTCCTTTTCTTCTTCCCTTTTAAATTTTGTTGTTCGCCCCGAAAGGTCGACTCTGACCTGGGGGGCAGCCATCTTCCTCAACTGTGATAACCGTTCTCGTGAAGAAAAGTACCTTATCGGCCATCAGGCATTAGTTTGGCGAAATAAAGTTGCGCAAGGCAAAGTTCCGTTGATTACCGAAAAAGTTTAAGTCAAAAATCTCGTGATTACCGTTTTATTCAAGTTTGAATTTCGAACCCCCTCGTGGGTTTTCCGAGGAGCCGTTTCTCTCGAAAAAACTGTTTTCAATAAGCCACATTCGAGGAGCATGGGCATAGAGTTTTTGAAGGGATATCCTAGAGGAATCAAGTCCTTCACGTGTTGACAACTGTACCTCCACATTTGACGAAAACTGTGAACTTCTAGCCTCTATCTACCTTGATTCAAGGCTATCTGCAACTTCCCTCGTCAAGTGACAAAAAATGGATGGCTACCGTACTCTACCTTTTTGTCGCGATTGAGGCTCGAGTTTCATTTATAACCTTTATTATTTTTTCTTTGTTGACATGTTTCGTTTTTCCTTGGTCGACTTATTAGGAATCGATACTTGCTTCATCAAAATCTGCCATGGTTACCCTGCTTTTGAATATTAGATTCCAATATTTGACAGCTGATACCTGATTTCCGTTTAAATATTGCAGGGTCCTTTCGATGACGCAATCGGGTATAATTTTTGTTGCTCGACACTTAGTTGACAATAACAGATGTCATATGTCATATCATATCCGCTTGCCATATTTTTGACGTCGACAGCTGTCAAAATTGACGATAAGTATTTAATATCTAACTTCAATATTATAAGTTTGTATGAAGATTTATAATTATTGGAAAAAAAAGTATTTTATTTTCGAGAAACTCTTTAAAAACGAATTTGACATCTCAAAAAGATTTATTTTAAATATTGAAAAATGGGGCTGTAATCTGTTATCAGCCGACTCTCTGAAACTTGAAAGTTAGATCCCCTTAAAGAATGTAGGTAGGTACTTATATTTTATAAATGATAATCAGTTATCTGAACTGAAGTCAAAGTTGGACAACATGTTCTAAATTTAAACTTATTGAGTAAGTACCTACACCGTCGAAAATTGATCAATTTTTAACTTGGGTCCTATAACTTATATATTTGAGGATTTCTATTATATCTCCCGACCATTAACCCAACTTTTGATTTCATACAGGTGCAATTTGAATTTACTGAATTTATTCTTTAAGCAGAAGCTGACCATATTTATCAATACAATTTTCAATCATTTTTTTTTTTTAAATAAGTCTTCTGGAAACTTAAATCCTTCACATTTTCATTTCATGATAATGATATATGACCAGCGACTGCTAATGAACTTATATGGCAAGTATATTGATGTACATAGTAATATTATTTTTTTAGAGTTTGATGAATCTGATTGAGAGTTGACCTCTATCTATTGATTTAATTTAAAGTGTTTTACCAACAATTGATTTTATCTTTTCAAATTTTAAAGCTTGATCTTCAACCCCACTGTGAATCTGATGTCGATATCACTGTGAAAAAAAAAATACTATTTTGATTTGCTTGAATTGTTTTATCGGTTTACCTATGTCAAGATTTGGTTGAGTGGTATGCCTGATCTTTTTTTTCTTTTCAGAATTATCAATTACCGTTTGCTAATTATTTTTTTTAGGTGTGTTTCTGAATTTTCACACTTTATTATTATATACTTTTTTAAATTCAGTGGCACCCTTGCTATTCTGTACGTACTTATTAAACTATTGACCTATACCCCTAATATTTATTCGCTGAGCAAACTGAGCATATTATAGACCTCCTGTTAACAAAAGGGGTTACAAGTTAAGAACAAAAACGAGCTTTAAAATGATAGTATAACGTATGCCGAGCATACCAATCGATATTTATGAATACAAATTTAAAATCCATCCGAAAACGATCAGCATACGATGTACGTGAGATCTCAGGATTGACTCTATCATTAAAAAAAAATGAGGAATTTTGAGGGCGAACGACGACCCTTGGATCACACTTACACCGTATGACGATCGTTTTCCAATGGATTTTAATCTATAAATATGGACTGGTATGCTCGGCATTCGTTATGCTGTGATTCAAAGCTCGTCTTTATTTTTAACAATAAACACTTATTAACTTCTTCGGCGCAAGTCCCGCGGTCACCCGGTAATTTTGCTTGCACGTGTCGAGCATATGCATTACTACCAAAACCTCAGAAGGCATTATGCTATCGTTGCACCTTTTGGCAGTGGGCCTACACTTTATAACTCGATATCGGCTGCACGAATTATAACGATTTTCTCAAATTTTAAAACCTCATTTTATGCACATCTTCTATAGTCTAGTCTAAAAATTTCATTTGAAGCTTAAAATTTCGTCTTTTTACTGAACCAAAACGTAGGGTACACGAAGTTGTTTAGAGTCGCGTGCCAAAAAGACAGACTAGATTTGTTTTGTTTTAAAATCGGTCAAGTTGGAGTTGTCATTATCTCAAAATAATTTCTTCCGTTTACCGAATGATGGACGTAACCTAATCGGCAAAAAAGTATCCTATATTTCGACATTATGTCTAAGATCAGTATTTAATCAACAATCGAAGAGATTCCACGGTTAAATCGACGTTTCTAGCTGTAAAATAATAAAATTAAACAAGCTTAAATAAAGGGTACGTATCCAAAACACATTTTTAGCCTTATTATCATTTTTTAAAATTTCTTTTATATTAACAAACATACATCACAAACCACAACTAAATAACAATTATGAATTATTATTATAAAATTAACACTTGAGCATGTCTTACATAGGCTTACATCTATGTATCAATTACGCATAGAATATTTTCTCTTGATTTTTGATATCTTTGAAATAAGAACTTAATTGTAGAAAAATTGTTTGAATAGAAATAATGTTATGGTAAATTTTTAATCAACAACTCTTCAAAAATATATACTTATAGGGTGTAATTTAAGATGTCCAAAGCCTTTGTACAACCATTTTCTGACTCATTTTATCACCACTTTATTACTCCTAACTATATCGTTATGACTGAAAACGAATACATTAAAAAAAAATACATATAATTATTAATACCTAAACTACAAACTAAAAATTCTATACATTCTATATTCTACAGAAAAGGGCAAGGTGTTTCATAAATAGTATACCTAAAATGGTCGTCATAATTTACAGAATGTACTTCTATGTATATCTGGACAAAAAAAAACTAGGCTGAAAATTTGGTACAGGAATAATAAATGTTTGAACAATTTTGAGCTCATCCTATGTAAATTTTATTTTATTTGCCAAAAGAGTCACTTTTTGAGGCACATTTAACCAAAACTGTTCCAGTTTTTTTAGCCCAATCCTATATTAAAAATGCCTCAACACAAGATGTCTTTAATATTTTTCTACACATAATTTAAAACTTGCACAAGCCTCAACCTCTCTTCATTTTAAGTACTATTAAACTGATTGTCAGGAAGAGTACAATCCATACCATTGTCGCAATAAACCCATAGTAAACATCGGGTTCAAGTAAGGACCAACCTCGCGTCATCATTGCTCGAAGTGATGTGGTTGCTAATGTCAGTGGTAAGAAGGTGGAAATGTATCTCAGTATAGTTGGCATACCTATTTTCAATATATATTTTTTAAACATAAGAATCAAGCAGACTAAATCAATTATTACCTTCAATGGGCCAAATAACTCCACTAAGTAACAGCGTCGGATAGAAACTTCCCAATGCCAGTTGTATAGCGTTCCTTTCCAATTCACAGATAGCGGAGATAACGAATCCAAAGCACATTCCGCACAAACCTTGGAGAATAGTGAGGGCAACAACAAAAATAATATCTCCTTTGCATTCCACTTGGAAGACAAGAATCATGAAGATGAGTACCAAAGCGGTTTGACCGCACATTACCACAAACTGCGTTACAACGTGGGAGAAAAGAATTTCACCAGGGGAAACACCTATGAGAGAGATTTATTTAATATATGAGTTAAGGAAACAATAGAAAACTCTTACCTGCAACCCACGATCTATCCAGCAGACCTTCCATTCTTTCTATAATCAATGCTGAAGATGTTAGAGCGACCGCAAGGAAGAAAACGATTCTAGAAAAAATATATATATATATATTCCAAGGGGCAAAAACACGCTTTCAATCCAATAACTTACGTCAAAATTACACCAGGAGCCACGAAATCTGTGAAAGACGGCTGATTGGATCCATAAATTGGCTTTTTGAAAGATATTGGCACCTCAGCTAAACCTTCGTTTTGATCACAGTCCCGGAGCAGATCTTTTGTAAAATTCTGATACGTTAGCTGAAGATCTCGTTGTAGAATTATACCAATTTGTTGGTCTATAGCAAAATATAATTCAGTATTGATAATGATGAAAAAAAAACAAGGAACTCACTTGACATGTCGAGCCAAACTCTAATTTCACTTGAATCCAGAGTTTCTTCATCGGCTTCTTTTCCTAGAGCGATCCTAGCAACCAAGGCGTCTGTAAAGTTTTCCGTGAAGTACATTGCTCCCCAAGCCTCCCCTCTAGCGACTGCATGTTTTGCTGATTCAATATCCGGATAAAACGTCTACAAACCATATTTTTAATAAAAATCTTGTTTGTAATTTCTGGATAAAATACAAGCGCTTACCTTCGATATCGTACTGGTATTCACCGCTTCAATATATCGACAACTTAAATTTGAAAACTTACAGCCCACTTCATAAGGACAATCCAAATAAGTTTGATTGAAATATCCAACTTCATGGTTTACAATCGCTAGTTTAAGTCCTTTAGGATCACCACCAATAGCCAAACAGAACAATATGACTTGCATTACCGGCAAAGCGAATATAAATAACATTACACCAACGTTTCTCCACATTCTCAAAAAGTTCTTCTGAAGAAGAGCACGGATTTTGCCTGTAGTCGTCCATTCGCTGCAATTGCCGCAATCTTCGCAAGCCTCTTGAATACCATGCTTTGCTGATGATGCTTTACCTGCAAACTAGATCGCCAAGTTTATATAACTCCTATATTAAAAAGATTATCCTCTTACGTCAAGATGCCCATTTGAATCCTGTACCAACACTTCTTTGCTTTGATGGAATCCTAGACCGACAACCCCGCTTTCCTGAGTAACAGAAATAGGTTCCTTTTTCCCCCAGTTCAATGTCGCTAAGCTTATGTTGTTGCTAATATTGTTGTCGGTTTGGCCGCCTCCTCCACCTCCGCCACCACCGCCGATCTGTTGTTTCCTGGATAATTTCAGGAAGACATCTTCAAGAGATGTGCAACCGTACATGGAAAGTAAGACGTGTGGAGCTTCTTCTGCTAGGAGTTTGCCACTTCGCATTAGACCAATCTGAAGATTTGAGTTTAGAAAAATTTATTAGAGCCAACGAATGCTTGGGTTTATCGCTATAGATGGTCTGATTTGAGGTTTTTTGCACGAAATAAAAAACATAATTTTTCATGGTGATGCCAAGACAACTAGGTCGATGCGGTCACCCCAAGAAGTGATACTGAGGGATTGATAGAAAGCTTTCGTTCATGCTTAAAACTGGGTTATCATCGGCGGAAGATTTTTTATTCGAGAATACTTTTGCTTGACTTTTGGAAGCATTAAATTTGACTAGGTTGCTAAGGCCCTAGTTGGTAATGGTGTCAAGATCACTGTTGATAAAGTGAATCTGTTCTTGCTACTATCGTCCACAAAGCTGTATATGGATGTTTCTTGTCACATTTAACAAATTATTTATAAAAATGAGAAACAGTGTTGGGGACAGAATTGAGTTTTACGAAACGCCGGCATTTATAGGCAGTGTAACAGAAGACACACCCTCTACAACGACATGCAGTAACCAAAAAGCTTCCCAGCCAATGGCAAAATTTGTTCGAAAGACCATACGACGGAAGTTTGCTCAGGAGACCTTTGTGCCACACCTAATCTCTAGATTTGAGATGAGTTGCTGTACGCCAGCAGATCCCCTGTTTATCTTTTAGAACGAAACCCGTACTGTTTGTCTGAGATGAGCTTATTGGCTTCGAGGTATTCAACTAGTTTCAGGTTGACTGTCTTTTCCATTACTTTCGAAAAGCTGTAAGCGAGTGAAAACAGTATGCAAAGAACTGAAGGCCAATAAAATTAGTCCAGGATAATTGTCGTTTGAAAAAAAAAAAAAAAATTAAAGGCAAGCTTATTTTTTCAGGGTTGTTCAAAGGGGATGTCCTGAGTGTAAAAACACAAGAATCAAAAACTTTCCTTTTCCGTGCCCTTAGCTATAGGAGTTGTTTCTCAACATTGTGCTACAATGGAATTTTTGGTCTCTAATCCTGGATAATCGGATTCTCTACAACTTTTCGAGAACTCGCTTTACGAACGCATGCAACATGCTCTTCAAATTATAGAAAGATGGTGGATGGTGCAGGGAATACACTCTGTCCATCAACCCCAAAAAGACTGAAATGGTCCTATTCACAAGAAAAAGGAAACTGGTATTTCCGATAGCACCTAGACTCTCAAACACCGAACTGAGTTTTGTCGCCGAGGTCAAATATCTGGGAGTGACACTCGATTGTAAACTAACATGGAACTCTCATATTGCTAAGAGAATACAGAAAGCATATATCGCCTATGAACAGTATACACGTACTATCGGTAAGACCTGGGGGTGCTCCCCCAAGGTAGTTATGTGGATCTATACAACCATCATCAGGCCTATGCTTACCTATGGGGCTATTGTCTGGGGACATAAGGCCGAACAGACTACTATAAGCCGAAAACTAGACCACTTTCAAAGAATGACATTACTCAACATAACTGGTGCAATGAAAACCACACCAACTAGGGCTTTGGAAATAATTCTATGTTGCGCTTCCGCACTGTTGGAATAGAACCAAGTGCAGAAGTCGGTTTGCAGACAGCCCGCATATAGCATGAGGCAACGAGCTCACTTCCATTGTTGGAGGCCAGAGTGGACTCTGCAACACCATGTTTCGTCTTCAAAAAGCACTACGCAATCAACACGAAAGGCATTGGAAACAACACAGTGGCAGGGGTAAGTAACATGTACATTGATGGTTCCAAAACTCAAACAGGCTCGGGATGCGGAGTATACTCCAAAATTCTCAAACTGAACCTAGCTATAGCCCTTGGCTCCATGCCTAATGTCCTCCAAACGGAAATTACTGGCATAACCATCGCGGCCGAACAAATAGTCAGCAACAATATCACTGACAAGATCGTGCACATTCACACGGAATGCAGACAAGCAGTACCAGCGCTATCTAGACCGCGACTCACGTCAGAACGAGTACAAACATTGCCACCGTACACTCACCGAAGCGTCGATCAACAACACGGTGGTAGTCAGCTGGATCAAAGGACATGATCGCAGCAAGGGCAATCAGGCTGCCGATGTTCTAGCTAGAAGGGCTGCCAGGCCTCAGCCTTCTGGGCCGGAGCCCTTCGTAGGGCTGACCATGTCGGCGGCCAGAGATATGATAAAAAAAAAACGCTCCCATACCCTTTTCAAAAAGCGCTGGGACGATACGATTGGCTGCAACTTATCCAAGGAACTGCTAAGCTACCCAGATAAGGCTGCAGCCAGTGAGAAGCTGTCGATGACCAGGAAAAGGCTACGGCTAAAAACGGGCATCTTGACTGGCCACTGTCAGCTAAACAAACATTTTTTTATAGGTGTCATCTCAGTACCACATCCTTGTGTAGGGCTTGTAATCAAGAAGACAAGACGATAGAGCACATTCTCTGTGAATGCACTGCTCTTTCGCCAATACCAACGCCAATACGCAGAGCCAGATTAGGCCAATCGTACCCATCGCTAGAAGAGATCAGAGGTTATCTTGGACTAAATTAATTGCAAATGCCCTTCAACAATTTTTTTAGGCATGCATACCTGTCAGTAATGAACTAATTTATTTATTTATTTAATTTATTCATAACTTTACTAAACAGTGCTTAAATTGGGTCAATTTTATCAGCGTTGCCAGATTTATAGGATCAGCAGCGATTTCAACGAAATTACAAAATTTTCCAATTAATCAATTTGTTATCGACTGACAATTAAATAAGAAAGTCTCCAATTTGAGCTAGAAAAAAATTATCCATAAACACAGTCTGTCTTGGATCATCTTTGAAAATAACAATTTGATCTTTTCCAAAAGTGGCTGCCATAGTGGAATAATTCTGAGAATTGCATTCTCGCTTTTGAAAAATATAACTACTGCATATAGAAATAGATGATGTCCAAATACGAATATTTCGACCTCGATTTCGACTAACATTTTAATTTGCACATTCCACAATTCAAAACAAATTTATAAACTCAATTAGTGGACATTTTCATTCACCTCGCGCGTTATTTTCCTACATAAGTTTCCACATAGTTTGCAATTCTAATGGTTCCCGAATAATGGGCAATTTAGGTTAGCCTTCAAATGGTTAATTACTTTGCGAGAAACTGAGTGTCATCGAAAACTCTTTCCCTGGAGGATTATGGTTTTACGAAAAGAAGGTCGGCCGTAAAAATATTATAGTATATGGGCGGACTTTGATGGTTTTAAACAGTCTCACATTTTTATTCCAAGCAAATAAAAATTGGAATTTTATTATAGTCGAGGTGTGAATACCATAATCCAAGAGACATTGGTTGATTTTAATAACATGCATATTACTTCAATTTTCAAATTCTTACCGTATGTGCCTGTCTAGCTTCCTCAATATAATGTGTTGTAATGATTACAGTCTTATTGCCATCTTTAGTGATTTGTACAAGATGATTCCAGATACTTTGTCTCAACAAAGGATCCACACCAACTGTAGGCTCGTCCAAGATTAACAATTCAGGATCATGCATTAAGGCTACTGCAAATGATACTCTACGCTGTTGACCGCCACTATAAGAAAAATATTAAAATATGAAAGCTATATTACAAATATTTCTTACCTTAGATTCTTCACTAAACGATTCTGACTTGGCAAATCCAAAAAGTTCAGCAAAAACCTCAACCGGTCCATAATCTCCGGCGTGTTCATCCCGAATATCCAGCCGAAATACATCATGGTCTCTTTGATGGAAAATTCTCCATATAAAGCGATTTCCTGTGGCATGTAACCCACGCGTTTTCCTGGCACTCCAGAGCCTCTAGTTCCTGGTCTACCTCCCAACACCCATATTTCCCCAGAATTCATTCTCCGCCTGCCTACTATGCATGAGAGGAGAGTGGTTTTACCACAACCTGAAGCACCTAGTAGACCATATCTGGAAAAAAATGGATGTTTTTATAAATTATTTTCGCATCAATTCAATGGGAGCGAGTTTTTTAGAGGGACACTAGTCTACCATCTGTTTTTGCATTGAGAAAAAGTAGTATTTAATATTATTGGGCTTTGAGCCTGATAGATATTTATCCATCCTGTGCAAATAGCAATTTCTACAGCTTGCGAAAGATATTTTCTTAGATGTAATTGAGAGCTTTTTTTGAGAATGGACGTTGTTTTGAGGCAAATAATGTTCCAAAATATTTTTAGACTGCACAGAGTTAGGAAACAACGGAGATGTTTTCTGTCTTTCAGGAAGCTGACATTGACTAGAAATGGACTTGAGGCCAGTGGTATCAATGATTCACCTCTCACCCGGACAAGTTGGTCATCATTCTTGTGATTTTTTAGTGCAATAGATAGATGCGCACGAAGAGAATATAATATAATGGTACACCACAATGCCACTTTTTTTGTTATCTCGGAGAACAAATTTAGCCAAAGCCTGAATATTTGGTATTGTTTTCAGATAAGAGAGTAGCTTGAAAAAAGAATTATTCAAGATGTGGGGGAGATGAGTAATGTTGTTTGGTGATAGATCGTCACATTGCTATGGGGCAGACACATCTATACTTCCTACAATGACCTTGGGCATACAAGGGTCGCGTAAGAGGATTAGGTAGAGTGGAAAGATCTATTTTCTATAAAAGGGACTTCCAACTGAACCCAAGGACTTGCATCTATGTCGACAGACGAATCAAGTCCACTCTAATTGCTAACTTCTGCTCTAGAGACCTAGCTATGCCTCAAGGACAGACTGGGACAGAGCAGATTGATAGTAGTTTGCTCTTCCTATCTGCCCTATGACTCAACATATGATACCCAAACACGTTTTTTGTCGGATGGGATGCCAACGCACACCACATGGTGTGGGGCAGCACCAGCACGAACCGAAGAGGGCTCAGTCTTCTGGAGTACCTTCACACCACGGATTTAGAAATCCTGAACCGTGGCAGCGCACCGATCTTTGTCACTTCGCGTAGGCAAGAGATGATAGACTTGACATTGGGCTCACTCTCCTGCCTCGCATATGGTCAAGTACCACATTTCTGGCGTAAGGTCCAAGTGGTATTTATCCCCAAGCCAAGACGCTATAACTACGAATTGGCTAAGGATTACAGAGCCATCAGTCTATCCTCGTTTCTTCTAAAAACGATTGGGGACGATGGGTTCACAGAGGGCTGAGTATGGGACATGCAAAGGCCTGGACTGACACCATCAAACAGGACCCCCTTCTCACCAGAAGGGATGCAATGCCAAAAACTTCAGCCCCTCCTAGACAATACAAGGTCGTCATCTGTGCAAGGGACGACTGGCTAGAGTCTGACCTAGGCTTTCTCAAGCCGAAGAGGCTCATCTGGTATACAGATGGGTCTCTGACTGGGAAGGGTGCAGGGGCTGGTGTATATCGGGAGAGACCTGTGGCGAAAATAAGTCTTGCACTAGGTCAATACTCAACGATATATCACACTGAGATCCACGCCATACAGGCCTGTGCTCCGGAGAATCTCCAGAGAGGTTACTCGGGTAAACATATTTATATGCAGCGACAGCCAGGCAGCACTCCGAGCCCTTGGCTCAGGCAAGGTCAACTCGAGGCTCACGTTTGACTGTATAACAACCCTCAAGCTATTCAACAAGGTCACCCTTGTTTGGGTCCCGGGTCACAGGGGCATTAAAGGCAACGTGGAGGCAGCTGGATCGTGAAGGTAGCAAAACTTCCTTTATTAGGCCCGAGCCTGCTCTTGGGGTTGCTTCCTGCCTGGTAAAAGCCAAGATCAGGAACCGGTCCAACAACCGGTTTCAAGACGAATGGCTGGAACAGGAAGGCCTCAGACAGTCAAGGATCTTTATACAAGGTCCTTCAAACTGCAAAGAGTCAAAAAGCCTCCTAAAATTGAACAGGAGCCAACTAAGAGCCACCACAGGCGTCCCGACTGGACACTGGGTGGTCGGATACCACCTACACAAAATCGGGGCCAGTAATGAGACGGAATGTAGGTTCTGGAGCGAAGTAGATGAAACTACCAAGCATATAGTTTGCGAATGTGTCGCCCTCGTCAGTCGCAGACTTCGATACCTCGGGTACAGTTTCTTGGAATCTGATGAAATAAAGCAAGTCCGGTCTGAGCGGGTTTGCACCTTTCTTAACAGTAGCGGACTCCTAAGGTAAGACAGGGCTGCACCAAGACGGGGATAGCACAATGGACCACATGCGCATCTACGTGCTGCCTATATGAAGGCTCCCCTTTTAAATCAATCAAAATCAATGTTGCACAATATTCAATTACCACATATTGGACCTACGAAATATGTGATTTTGTGGATAGCTATAAGGTAAATCTTTGGTTGCTTGAGGATACATATGGTAAACCAAATAAACTTCACCCTGATCCTAAGAAGACAATTTCCTATCAATTGTAATGCAAAGTGGCTAAAATATTTAGAAAATATCCCAAAAATACACAAAGTAAAAAAAATTCTTTGGAAGGTGGTAACAATATTGACTTCTAAATTGAATGAAGCACTACTTATTTTTTCACAACTTCTCACAGAGCTGGTTGAGACGAATCAAACGATGAAATGAGTTTTTGCAGAAAATATTGTAAATTTATTATCAAGTCTTGCCGTTTTGTCAATTATTCTAATAAAAGATCAATAACAAAAAATACGGAAAAAAAGCAAAACAAAATCTAATAACATATTATACCATTTAGGTTTAATTTAATAAGGCAGGTAGATAAACAACATTCAACTGACGTAGGTTAACTAAAAGCAAACGAAAATATAAAAAATGAACACGTCACGAAAAGTAAACGCAATAATATCATCTAAATTAATAGTAAATTGAAGTAAATGATCAAAACGTCCTACCATCAATGACTCAGCCTACTCCAAAACTCTTGAGTCATGTTATTTAGTGTTTCTGGTTAAACTGCCCAAATTTCTAGCACTTAAATTAATCAATTTTTTGTTTGTTTCAGGATCAATGGAGTAGATGTCAGCTTGTAGTAGTAGGTATCCAATGTCTGCAGGTCAATAGATAAAAACCTATGGAGCCCAGAAACTTTCATGTCATTTTGTGTTTTGTCAAACAGAACTTAATAAGTTTGTTGCAGGCAGAGTAAAAAAAGTTTCTTACATTAGAAAATAGAAATTTAATTGCAGTTGTATCTGTTGAAAAATACTGCCATAGAAATATGAATATGATAAGTTTGTATTTCATTAAACGGTAGAGCAACTTAGTAAGAAGTTTGTTATATCCCTCACATATTTATATTTATGTTTGTACTTTAAAATTAAATTTTGAATAAAATATTTCTTTGAAATTTGTTGTATTCGTTTTAATGGAATCATTGGTTTCTGCTGATTTTTGGGAATTAAAGTTCGCAAAAGATATTTAGAAAGTTTAGTCTTATTTAGAGCTCTTATTGAAAACATTCATTATATTATTTAGTGTGCTGTGCCCCTAGCTATTCTTGAAGCCAATAGAAAAATTGCTCTCTGAACAGCTTCCATATTTTTCTACTCCCACATTATTCTCTCGGTTTTAAAAATACATATTCTTGAAAGGAGAGGGAGTGAAAATATGTCCATAGTCGCCAAGTGTCGAGTCCCAATTCTGTCCAATCTCAGTTTGGAAATTTCTGACAGACATATTATAGGTAGGTAAACCTTTATCAAAACCGTCACCGTCTTTCAAACTTTCAGTATCACTGCTTTCAATTCGTGTTCAATTTTTCCATGTGATTGTACTTTATGTTGTGTTTTTTCATAAGGATCTTATTTTAATCTCCATTAAATTTTAATTTTTAATAAAAAATGAGCAAAAGAAAATTAGCAAACACCAGAAAGAAATGCTGCTGGACTTTTCATCCACAAGAACATAATGTATTCCGGAAAATTCACCCCTACATTTACAAGGGCTTAGTGTCAATCTCTGTGCTCGGAGTTAGCGACAATTTCAAATAGTATGGCAGAGGGGCCCAAAAAAAAAGTTGCTCCAATTTTTACTGCGATAATGTAAAGGGTCATTTTGAGAGAAAGAACATCTGCATCAACATCATCACTATGAATCATTCATAATATTATTCCAAATTAACATAAATTTAATAACTAATAATACCTATAAAAAGAAGTTCAAGAACCAACAACACGACACAACGGAATTGGAAAACAAACAAAAACAGATTTTGGAAAATTAGATTGACAAGTTTATATTAGCCAAATCCACTCCCTGTCAAATTTCTCTCAGTTATGACTAATAGAATTTTCAACTGGGGAAATAAAATTCCCACAATTTTCCATCAAAATATTTCAAAAATAGTTTCATTTCACATTTTTTGGAGTCACGCCTACTTTCTCTCGTAATTTCTACTTCCTGGAACTCAAGAATAGGGGCACTGCCAAGAAATACTATTTAAAACGGTAAAGTTGTAAATAAGTTATCGAGCTAATAATGGAAAAAATCAAAAATCCATGAAGAAATGATAATACCTGTATGATTCTCGACTCCCTTTTTAAACAATAAATAATTATAGAAGTGGTTTCATAACCCAAAGGCTTGGGGTTAGTTTTGATGAGTAGAAATTATACAATGCATTGTATTTTGCCTCAGGGGCTCCGAAACTGAAAAGTATAGGTAACAAAACAGAGAAAGTACTTTATAATGGTGTATTTGCTCCAAGATCCAGGTCAAGGTCAGGTTATTATAAAACATTTTCACAATAAAACTTCTTATAGACTTCCTGGCTAGTGAAAACTAAAATTTCCAATGATTTAGATATTCAACTTTTACCACTAATTTCCAATGGATTACCTAGTAATTTTAGTTTAAGAATTTAAATTTTCAAGTGGTTAATGCATATAGGTAATGATCGCCCTTAGAAAGTAACTAGGTACCTACTACAGAGTAGATGCTTGATTATTTGCGATGAATTGAATTGTTCAAATTAACGTTCAGGGTTTTTCATAATGAACCACACAAGAAGATTTAAACCACTATTCCATATACTGTTGCCCCAAGACATCCATCTGCAGAAAATGAATAATGATGGGAAAATCTTGCTCACCTTATTAGAACAAGGAAACTTTATCGAAGATCATTTTGAAAAAAAAAAAGGATACAAAACTGAAATAGAGGAATTATTGCTCTCAGGATTTATTCACAAAGAGGATGTGCTGAACTAGAAATGCAGATGATGATAATAATGAATCAAGACTCTGTGATAAAGATAGAAAAAAAATGAAAAGTTGGAAAGAAGTCACCTATGGCCTAAATCATTTTATTGGAACTTTTTATTCAATATTGGTATTGCATAGTGCAGGAAAAAGAAATGTTTGACTTCGCATGCCAAACATGCCAATTATGGACTGTGATGATTTTTTTCTGAAAACTAATATGCAATATAATTTCGATTATCCATATGAAAACACTTGGTATGTATTAGTTCAAATAACAGAGTGTCTATTTCGTTTGGCTATTACTTAACTATAGCCTCTAGGCTATGCAAAATTCCAATTTATTTATAGCTGTATCAAAAATTTTCAATAACTAAGTAAGTCTCGTCATTGGCAGTAAGCACCTATATTTACGCAATAATACGCATCTACGAATAGTCTTAAAAATTGCACGCAAGAATCACCAAAATAATTGCTATGCAACCATTGCATAATCCGCACGCACATCCTCTACAATGTATAACAGTGTACCACCACGCCAAGGTATTGCATTTATGTAATAAAGTTATATCGGATTCGATACATTCCAATCCCATTCAAGTATAACTTTCTATTCTCGGGCCCCTGATACGCTCTGTAAAGCATTGAGATGCGGTATATTTTTGGTACCACTATATGGTTTATTGGGATTATTAGGCAACACGGTTATTAATAGACAGTGACAGTACTCACATCGTTCCTTTGCCTACAGTCATGTTAAGATCACTGAGCACATGGTTAGGGTTCTTCTTGGATCCATAATGTTTGTAGGCGTGTCGTACGCACACCGCCTGTTGTCTCTTGTTCCATAATGAGGAATTTTGGTGTGTCACTGGTGGTCTTTCCACATTGACACCAACCAAATCTGGACCGGAAACCGTTGTAGGTTCCACTCGCTCACCCATTGTGTTGTTTTCACTGGAACAAAAATAAAAAACTTGGATAAGTATTTAAAGAGGCACCGTTTCATACCTAACATCAATACCATGATTGGATACATCATCTATTTTAGCCATTATAAATTTTCTGTCTTAAATATCTATGAGATTCCCGGTTTAAGCTTCTCAAATACCTTCGATAAACTATTAGATTTCAATTCATGAGCCAGTATTTATCTTCCCATTTTTTTCTGATCGATACATTGATTATTTTCACCCCTCTTATAATTTATTTGTTAATAATATATAAGGTCTTTTACCGGAAATACTTGATAGCATGACTTCTAATCAAAGACGCAGTCAGATGATGATAATGTTTAACCCATATGAATATTTGATGAATTTACGTGGAAAACCATCTTTTGTTGTTCTATGAAGTCACATTTACCATTAGAAGTAAGTATCGTTTTTTTTTTGAGGAGTTTGTTGAACTTATTTTTTCACATGCAATTTTTGTAATAATACTCTTTTAGGCAAAAGTCTAGAATACCATTATAACCCGTCCTCCTCGTCAAATCAGATATGTCGAATATTTTTTTTATTTTTTTTAAATACTTATGTGGATCAAAAAAGAGATCAAGTTCAAAAAGAGTATACTGATGTAACACTTATAGTACATTAAATACCCAGGTAGAGAAGTTGGTCATTATATACCGAGCGCTTTTAGAATGCATAAGGTATATAATGACTCTCTACCGAGGAATGTATAGAATTTTTTTTACTACTGCTAGTAGAAAATAAAAAATAGGTTTGAAATCTGTGCTCAAATTATATTTTCTTGTCGGAAGTGCTGCCCTCTATCAACAGCTTATGGTAATTTCCTATGATGTACATACAGGAACCTGTTGTTTTTTTTTAAATTGACAGTTTAAAATTGAAATTAAACCAATAGAAACCTGTTACGTTATGACGATGTCCTTGCGTCATGACGTCATTTTCATTATTGACCTAGGTTTTATTTCATTATTTTCATTACTAACCTAGGGAGAGAAATTCGATTTTTTCCCTGAAAAATAGATTGAATAATGACTACTTCTCAGGTTAGTAGTAAAAAAACAAATATAAGAGTCCGAATTCTCATTATTCATTGTCTTACAAGGCACAACCACACATAAAAGTTTAAATCTAAGTAATAGCAAATCTCTGTGTAATGTCTAGATAGGGAGTTATGAATCATCAACTGTAAAGTTATTTTATCACAAGGATTTTTTTTTTAAATAACAACAAACTTGTCGCAAAGACATACAAACTACAGTAGGTATCGAATAGAAAATAGGTCTTTTGCTCGGTTTATTATTTTCCTGATAAACTTGCTGTCTACAAGACAAATGTATCCACTGACCAAAAGGTATAGATTGCAACACTACCCGATGTCTGGGAAACTCGCGAATGGAAGTTTACCGCGCACTAGTCCAGCCAATCCGAAACCCAAGCGAATTATCTAGATAATTCCAGATGCAACGACGCGCTATAAAAGGGAGTCGGCCACCGAGAGGTGACAAATGAGCCGCCAGTGACAGTAATAATCGAATAATTAGTAGAACGCAAGTCGATAGTGAGACAGTGAGCTGTGATTCAGATGTGGGACTAGTAAGACTTGATTGATATTAAACGAAGTGTTTTAATAACGCTAGCTAGTTATCACGTAATTTCTGTTTCATTGTCTTGATGAAGGTAAATTGATTTTGGAAGAGTAGTCTCACGATGATCTACACGTATCTATTAAGTAATTTATCAATGTGAAATGTCATTTTAAACAGAACCCTAGATCCTTGATATGAAAACTCTTATTCAAAGAATTATTTCTGTAGTTGTATCTTCCTATATCTACTTAATATAGTTGTACGTCTACGAGAAAATGAGAATACAACCATTTGCCGGAGGCTTTTGTGCTTTTTTATTGGTAAATGAGTTTACCAAGGAAATAAGCCCCTCGAGAACAAACAAACAAGTTTGAAATGTATCATTTGTTGACGAATTGAAATATTTAAGTTATTTTTATCAGATTCTTCATCTTTATTACAATACCTATATATAGGATTAGCAACCTGGTGTTTTTTCAAGCTCAATCGAAAGTAGAGTTAAACAGAAGCAGACGATTTAAATAAAAATTACATAAATAAATAAAAACCGCATTACGTGTGCTGTTTTACCAGGAAAAGCTATTATTTAAAAGAAAGTGCCTATAGTGTTTTCTCAGATTATGGAAATAAAATCGTGAAATATGAACTTTTACGCGTATAGGCAGTAATTGAGTAAATAATTGTAGGTACTACCTACTCGTATTTGGCTTCACGTAGGTACCAAGTAACTAACAAATAGATACTTGTGAGTATTTTCGTATTTTAGGGTATTCAATAGGTAATCAAATTTCTAGAGTAGGTGAGTAAAAATTTAAGTAAGTAGGTTCCTAGCTAGCTATAGAATAAGGCCTATTCGGGTTTGGAAAAAGGACGGTTCAAAACAATCGGACAGTTTATCAATCAACAAAATGACAACAACTCGGTTATCACAAATTTCAAGAATAAACTGTGGGATTGTTTTGAACCGTTCTAGAACGGTCCTTTTTCCAAACCCGAATAGGCCCATATAGATTTATTAAGTTACCGCAAACTCCCAGATGCTTGATCTAGAAACTGTGGAGAATACCAAAAAAAAATGCTTCCTTAGCTCAAGAACACCAAAAAGCGAATCATTTCATGTCTCTTCTCAAATGGTCAACGATCCCTTCAATTGAGGCACAGTGTTAAGGACTTTTCTGCCTTTTGGACGTCTATTCTCGAAATCAAAGACCAGCATTCTAATGAGAACGATTGCCTTGTTATTATCAGTGTGCTTCCTTGTTTCAAGAACAAGAACTTTGGTGTCTTTCCAAAAACTGTAGTCATCTCCAAGCCTCAAAAGCATTGTAGCGACTGAAAGGGGCATTTTGGTAAATGTCAATGTTTTCACCACTTGCGTCTATATCTCAACGTGACTCCTTCAGTATGCGCGTGCGCCTACTTACCATAGAAGATTTTTAGGTTAGGTTTTTTTGTTTTGTTTTGATTTTGATCTTGTACGTTGTTACCTAAATTCCCTAATTTTGTTTCTACTGACTCTGAAATTTCTATCCACCCCGTTTAGGATAATTTTTTACTTAGCAAAAAATTAGCGCAAGAAACTCAATCTAGCCCTTAACTATTTATATCTGTAATAAATAAAACACAAAGGTACCTATGTATTTGGGTGAAAAATTTATTTTGACACAGAAAAAATCAAAATGCACATAAAATCTAAAAGAAAGTATCTATAGTCCCCGCCACAGATAATCGAGGTTCCTTAAAAAAATGATTTCTCTGTCGGCGATGCCCGGATAAGCAAAAACTGTTCCAAAAACTCTACACATAAAGAATTGAGAATAAATTTAGTCCAAGAGCATCAATTTTTTGATTTTGTTTATCCGGGCATCGCCGACAAAGAAATCATTTTTTCTAGGAAATATTGTTTTTTTCCTTCCAGCCACCAACGAATCATGCATATTTTTGGTATGTCTGCTTAAATTGCCCTGATTTGAAAATGTTTTGGAACACCAAGTACAGACATATACATATCTACGAAATTTGGATATATCTTCACTTCTGGACTTACTTCTCATTAGACTTACTCAATCACTTTTACTTATCTATAAGCCCTTTTTAATGTTTTCACTGTTTCCCTCCATCACGATACGAATCAACAGATATGTAACTACAAAAATTACCCTAAACGGAGTGAATAGAAACTTTAGGGTCAGTAGAAACAATGTTACGTTACGAAACAAGTACAAGTTCAAAATCAAAACAAAACAGGAAAACCTAACCTTAAAATCTTCTGTGGAAAGTACGCGCACGCGCATACTGAAGGAGTCACGTTGAGAAATAGACGCAAGTTGTTTTCACCGACCACATGCCCAATATGGCCGACCTGACACTTGGCAGACCGAAATGGCGCGCGATTTAAAATTCAAGTTCTTGTTGAACCACCCATTAGTTCAGTTCTACGAGTATAATATAGGTACTCACTTACTTGAGGCAGTTTAGTGGTTGATAGTAATGATAAAGTACCCACAAAAACAATGAAGGATACTAGCGATAATTCTGTTGCAAGGAACAAACTGTATACCTACACCAACTGTTCTATTCATATTTTTACCAATAAAACTGAAAAGTACCTGGCCACTTTAGGTGTTGAAATCAAACGCTTATCAAAGCATATAAACATGCAAAACGATATTATAATATGGACACACGTTCTAATCTAGAGAAAGTTGAACATTCTTGTCGAATAAGTAAAGTAACATTCTGCATAATCTTATTTGTTAATGGATGTCGTCGCATCAATTATTTCATGCGAAATTGTCATTTCATTCCAAAGCATAATTATTATTATGACATTACTCACAGTTTTGATTACACCCAATTTAATTGAATCGCAAATGTCAAATCAATAAAATAAATCACATTAACTAGTGTCAACAATCACCTTTGAATATGTTTTTTAAAAATCTTTAATTAATAAGTACCTTCTACTGTATTGACTTCTTACTATAGGTATGTACGCCGGTTTCGACCTCAGTCTTTGACATTATTATGGAAGGCACCACAGTGTGGTCAAGGTAATGTTCGCAATTGAAATATGTATATGTATTTTGCAAGTAATTCAATGTATCTACCTAATGTTTTTTTTTTTTTGAATAGATAACCAGAGAACAGATGTTAAGGAAAAGTGAAAGCATTCATATCTTAAGGAAATTGGCTAAATTTGAGCTCGCAAATTTAAAAAGGAGAACTCAAAAATAGTTTGCTTAAATTTAAATTGTTTTTTGCTCTATTAGTTAACTACGTAATTTTTTGTAACACCTACTAGGTATAAAGCGGCCAAGGACGGAAGAATTTTTGGAAACTATAAATAATAAATTCTTCAAAATTAATCACTATAACCAAAAGCAAAAGTCCATCC